GTCCTAAGGCAGTTGCCACCTTCTTTCGAGATCTATCTTTTCACCAAATAGATTATACTGATAGAAATTTGCATGTACCCACACGCATGGTACTTAAACCACACACACAGGTCATGCCAGGTGTTAACCATCTCTGGTGGCATTATGCGTAGAGTGCCTTTTGTTCATCTGCATTCATTGTTGTTGGTTTTTCTAAGAAATGAATATCCCTCCCCCCCCCTTTTTTTTTAATAGAAAGGATCATTTTTATTTAAATATTTCCTAAATTTTCATCAAATGTTGCCTTTTGGGCTGTGTAATCGCTACCTAGATCTTCATGGGTGATTCTTAAAGATTAGGTATTTATTGTTGCTTACGATGCGGATGAATCTGAAGGTCCTACATTGACTACTATAGTATGTCCAAATGTAGTTATTGGCACATAGTTATTCATTCAGTAAATATAAAATGAGTGAAAATTGAAAGCACCCTAAATATATAAATCAACTTTTTTAAAATTAAGATTTGGCAATACTTTTAGTGTATTTATTTCCCTTATCTCTAGAAGTACAACTTTGTTAAAAGTCAGCTATATATTTGGCTTTGAATATATTCAAGACTTAACTAAATACCTACTTTGAAGTTGAATAGTAATTTATTTTAAACTAAGCTGCAAGAAGTGTGCGATTTCTAAAATTAGGTTTGTTTTTTCGTTTTCAGTAATGATGTAGACATGGAAACAGATCACTACTCCAATGGAGTTGGAGAAACTTCATCCAATGGTTTCCTAAATGGTAGCTCTAAACATGACCACGAAATGGAAGATTGTGACACCGAAATGGGTCTGCAGTGATATTTCTTACATTTTTAATAAAAAATGATGACTACAAGGTTATGTTTTTACTCGTACTGATTTGCAGCTTGATGAGCATAAGTCAAATTTTAAAGATAAATGTATTTGCCATTGGATTTGACAATACACATTACTTCTCTAAACTTCCTTGTGAGAGTGGGTTGCTAGACAGAGCAGAGCTACTTTATAGTACTTTCTGAAGTTAAATGCTACAGAGTTTTCTTCGCTGAATTGTTCGGGCTCAACTTTAGCGCTGTCATTAGTGCAGTGGTACCAACTTAGTGTTAAATATCCTTTAGAGCAGTGGTCGCCAACCAGTGGTCCATGGATCACTGGCAATCCATGTCTGAAAGGTTGGCGACCACTGCTTTAGAGGATATTTAAGGTTGTAAATATAAGAAAGATTTTATACTTATTTTACTATAGCCAGTAAAGGCCAAATGGGTAGAGATGCTTTTATAAATTCTAATCAAACAGAATTTCTTAAATTTATTTAATGTGAATATATGTGACTATTCATAGTTCACTGTCTGGCACTTAGTAGGTACTTAAGTGTGACTCTATCTCCTCTTCCCCCTAAGTTAAATGTCATGCTTAATTTACTTTCTTGACAACTTGTGTAGTAAATTGTATTATAAAGTTAAATCATCAGCAAACTTTCCCATCAATTGGAAAGTGAATATTATTAAAGCTTATAAATCCTTCTTTGTCAGAATTCCATGGCCAGCATTAGACTTCTCAGTATTTTGAGGTTAAAAGGTATTTTTTCACATTGTTATGGGTATATATAAGAATCTACTTTATAAATGTAATTATTATTTTATTATTTATACAACTACCTTTTTGAGAATTATGTATTCTGTATAAATCCTTTTTTCAAGCAACGAGTATGATTAAAAAGGCAGCCTTGTTTTATTTTATCAGATAATCAGCAACCTTAAAATTCGGAGTAGTTTGAGCATAGAGATTAAGAGCAGGAGTTATACAGCCAAATTACCTGGATTCAAATTCTGCAACTGCTACTTACTAGCTGTGTAACCTTGGACAAATTAAGAGTTCTGTGCCTTGGTTTCTTCATCTGTAAAATGGGTATTATAATAACTGCCTTATACATCATTGAGACAATTAAATGAGCTAATCTGTGGAAGCTAATAGAACAAAGTGCTTATTGCATGTTATCATAATCATTTGTGATTACATGTATTATTAGTAATTTAAATGGTTACATTATTATTTATTATTGTCAACCAAAATATATACCATAAAATATTTTATAAAAGTAGTATTCTTAGCATAACTAATCCTTTTTTATTAGTAAAATATGGTATCTTTTGTGTTTTTATTGGAATTTTTTCGCCTCTCTTAGCATCCAGGAATCATTTAATTCTGTCTCTATTCTATAGCAGTTAAAGTAGCCTGTCAGGCAGTTACTAACTTTTTCTTTTTTTTCTTAATGTCGCTTATTGTAGTTTTAGAGACCTGTGCTTAACTTTTTATAAAATTTTCCTTGACATATAGGTACATCCTAACACTGAGAAAGGTTGTCACCTGACTTTCAACTGCATGCTAGATATTGGATCCTAGATTCTTGAGACCTAGATAAAACGTACCTTTTAGCTGCAAAGTTTCATATTAAATTAATCTGCATATTTAGAGAAAAACATTAGGTAATAGTTACTAAATTAAACATATAAAATGTTATAAACAATTTGTGTTTATTTCTCCATTGCACTTCATTCAGTAAGGTAGTAAAATGTTTGTTTTGGTTACAGAAGTTGATTCAAGTCAGTTAAGACGCCAGTTGTGTGGAGGAAGTCAAGCCGCTATAGAAAGAATGATTCACTTTGGAAGAGAGCTACAAGCAATGAGTGAACAGCTGAGGAGAGAATGTGGCAAGAACACAGCAAATAAAAAAATGCTGAAGGTACATTTGTTTTCCCCTGCAAAATATAAATGCATCAAAAGAACTAAATTGTAGTTTTGTAACACACTGAACAAAGCTAGAAATTCTTGTTCCACATGAACTCCTCCCTGGCTTCCTATTTGAGAGTAAACGTGTTCTGTGTGTTTGGGCAGTTCTGCTGTACTGGAAATAGTACTGGAGTTCAAGTAAAAAGTATGGATTCAATCCCCACTTGTGCAACCTGTCAGCATTATGTGCACTTTGTCAACTTACTTTTCTTAGTGTTTTCTCAGCTATAAAACTGGCAAAGTTAGGAAAAATGTGAGTATGCTGATAAAACTGTAAATCTGAGGTATTTTTATTTTAGTAAACATTGCTCAGAGTTGTAGCAAATTGAAAGTCTAATACATGGTTTTCATTTTGATGAAGATTGGTGAAGGATTTGGGTCATCTACTTAATACATTTTCAGGTCTTTTTTAGATTGACATTTATGATAGCTAGTAAGATGAATACAACTTAAACAGTTTAGTAAGTTAGGCACAAATTTGTATATCATTGAAGTTGGGAGTTTTCTCCTGCCTTAAGTCAGGATTGTAATTAGCTGTGGAGATGTTATTCCTTTAAAAGCTTTTTCATACTCAAAAAGTCCTACCAGCTCTGTAAATCTATGAAATATTAACCTAGCCATTGTATTTTTTTTTTTTTAATCCTGCGTTAGGTTTGTTGTAGTGTGGAATTTCTCCGATGCTAGTGGGAGTGAGGTTCTCATATCTTGAGAAAAATAATTTTCTAAGATGCATGGGAGAATGAGATATATTGAAAGGTTTGTGTGTTATTGTATCCCTTGGTTTGTAAAGTCCCATTTCCCTTAAACCAGTCTTGGAAAATATGCAGCTGGAGGTTCAGCAGAGCTAGAAGCAAAATCAGTGTCCAGAGTGTCTGTTTCATGGTGGAGTTGAGTGCAGCAGTGCATCAGGCTGATTGTAATCTATTAGTGCATGCGGGAGATTGCAGGGGAGCATGCCCCCTGCAACAAGTCCCAAGAGAGCCAGGAGGGCCAACAGAGCCAAACGAAGGCAGGAATTCCTTTGTTTAGAAGTTTAATGAATACCAAATCTTCCCACACTTGTAGTGGCCATGCCTATTCTGACCTATGGCTTGTTCCCCGGTGTGATTGACAAGTACCTTCCCATGTCACTCAGACCTGGAGAGTGTTAAACTGCAGCTTCCTGGCAAAGCTGTACAAGTGGCATGCCTACATTATCTAGCCTTCTTTTTGCTTCTTTCCAGTTATTAATAACCAGGTTATAATAGTGGTATCAGGTTGGGCTCAGAGGTGGTAAGTTATAAACATTTTCTCCTGAATGTTTTGAAAGTTCAAAAAACAAAGGAGATATTCATGTCGTGCTGTTTGGGTGTGATGTATGTAGTGGCCAAGGGCAAGGCTCCTGACATCCCTTCCTGACTCAGACTGAGAGTGCACCAGTAGCAACACCTAGTAGCACTGAATGTAGCATAAAGTCAGCAAAAATCATGCACCTACATATCTGCTTGATCTAGGATGGGTTAAAGAGACATCTATATACATTTCCAGTTAATGGTATGCACTCTTGTATATTTGCTATCTGAGTTGTGAAGAGAGATGTAGTCACTATACTTAGTACTTCATCTACTGGATAGCAAACTGCTATTTTAATAGTGATCATCAGCTCTTAAAAAAAAGTTTAAAAGATATTTGGTAGGTTATGTGATTAAAGCTGTTTTTATTTTTAAACATCCTTTTTAAAAATATATTTTATTAATTTTGTACAGAGAGGAAGAGAGAGAGTTAGAAACATCAATGAGAGAGAGTCATCAATCAACTGCCTCCTGCACACCCCCTACTGGGGATATGCCCGCAACCAAAGTACATGCCCTTACCGCAATCAAACCCGGGACCCTTCAGTCCCCAAGCCGACGCTCTATCCATTGAGCCAAACCGGTTTTGGCATATTTTATTAATTTTTTACAGAGAGGAAGGGAGAAGGATAGAGAGTTAGAAACATCAATGAGAGAGAGACATTGATCAGTTGCCTCCTGCACATCTCCTTACTGGGAAGGTGCCTGCAACCAAGATACATGCTCTTGACCGGAATCGAACCTGGGACCTTTCAGTCCGCAGGCCGATGCTCTATCCACTGAGCCAAACCGGTTTCGGCATACACATCCTTTTTAAAAAATTATTTGTACTGATTTCAGAGAGGAAGGGAGAGAAAAATAGAAACATGAATGATGAGAGAGAATCACTGATTGGCTGCCTCCTTCATGCCCCCCATTGGGGATTGAGCTGCAACCTGAGCAGGTGCTTTAACTAGGAACCAAACCATGACTTCCTAATTCATAGGTTAACTCTCAATCACCGAGCCACATGGGTAGCTATTTTTTGTTTAAAAAGTCAAATCAGACATTCATACACTGTTAGGAAAATAGCTGTCCACATTTGCCCTATAAGTTTATGAGTTCTTTGAGGTTAGGCTAGGTCATTGGTCGGCAAACCATGGCTCGCGAGCCACATGCAGCTCACGAGCTATGGTTTGCCACTCTGTTGACGAATGAGTTTGCCAACCACTGCATAAGGCATCACCCCTACCCAGAAGTTTTGAGTTCAAGTTAAAGACATTAGTACATTATTAAAATGTTTTTTAAGTGTTTTTCCCTAAGGCAGTGGTCGGCAAACTCATTAGTAAACAGAGCCGGTTTGCTGACCACTGGGCTAGGTCTTTCCTTAACTTCTCCCCTTTTAAATATATCTTATGCATATAGAACCTAGGTATTCAATAAATGTTTTATTCAATTGAGATTGAATTTATTTGAGAATTATAACTGATTTTTCAAGATTGGGTATTTTCATCACTATCAACTTTGTAGAACCTTTTCTCATATTGCATGGCAAGAAGAAACTTATTTCTTAGCCTTTAAGTTTAAGATAGCTAAAGTCATTCATTTAGGAAATTATTTTGCTAGATACCGAGGTTCTCAACCTTTCTGGTGTCTAGACACCTTAAGAAACTATTAAATATTCTCAAAGAGTTTATTGATTTTACTATACTAGAAATTAGAACTAAAACTAAAAACAATTCATTAGAAATAACAGTAAATCCTTTAATTAAATATTTTTGTGGGGGGGGGAAACTATCTTCCCCAAAATGGGGGAAAAAATTAGGCAGTGTGGAGAAGCGAATGTGTGTGAGCAGCTCAGCCAGCAAGGCTTTTATTCCAGTAATTGAAGCAGTAGAGCTATTTATACTCACTCTTTATAAACTGCTATAGATTTTAAGGCAAATATTAGTAGTTTCAGAATCCTATCTAAATGAAGTCACATTTCCCTCAGAAATTATTCTTACTGATGTAATATTTTTAAAATAAAAAGTAACCCATAATGTCTTTGGTTACCATCACCAATTAAGTTTTGTAACAGGATTTTAAACTTAGAAGTTGCTTTGTTGATTTCCTTCCCTTTGTAAAGTAAGATATGGTGCTAGGTATTTACTACTGGGAACTTGATGCTATTGACCTTTTTATTTTTTAAGGTTTTGTTAGTTTTCTTGGTTACAGCTTCACTCTACTTCTAAACTGTGTTTCATAGTGTTGATGTGTGATTCTTCTATAATCAAGTCTGATCTACACCACTTCTGTATTTAAAATTCCATTGCCTTATTGGCCAAAAAAATTCAAGCTTTTTAGTGTTTTTTAGAGGCATTTTAGGATTTAACCCCTTACCTGTGGTTCCAACCATGCTTTTTTCTCCTTTCGCTCAGCCTTTGTCCATGTAGCTTGAGCCTATTTCTGTGATTGCATCATGTGACACAATACACCTACGTTAATAAGCAGTATGCTATGTTATTTATGTGTTTTTTCCAGAAAATTATGTGAATCCTTGAAACGGTGACAAGGTCCTGGTGATCCGTGTCCTCAGTTGTCTGGTTGCTGTGTCCAATAAATATTTGATTGAATTGTACTGAAAACAATAGGGCAGAATTTTGGACTTTTTTCCCCTCTTAAAATTTATATTGAAAATTAAAAGGGACTTCTCTTACTAAAAGAAGTACAGTACTAGCTGTGTGATCTTAACTTCTTACTGCCTCAATTTGCATCCCTGTATGATGGACATTATAGTATCCACCTCATAAGGTTTTCGTGAGGATTAAATAAGATGATCCACATTAGTGCTTAAAACATTGCCTCATACAAAGTTAGTGCATAATAAGTTACTACCATCATTATCATTGTATTTTTGTTTTAAATACTAGAAAGTGAAAACAGAAAAATGGTCCTGATTTGAGATTTGGAACATTTCTCCTTTTTAAAAAAAAATATATATTTTGTTGATTTTTTTACAGAGGAAGGGAGAGGGATAGAAAGTTAGAAACATGGATAAGAGAGAAACATCAATCAGCTGCCTCCTGCATACCCCTATTAGGGATGTGCCCGCAGCCAAGGTACATGCCCTTGACCGGAATCAAACCTGGGACCTTTCAGTCCACAAGCCGATGCTCTGTCCACTGAGCCAAACTGGTTTCGGCCATTTCACCTTTTTGGTAGCATGTCCACATATATAGACCCAAGAGGGTCTTGTGCTTAAAATTTTTATGTACCAATTATTCCCTGAACAGTTCTTTAGTATATCTTTTAAAATTTATCCATACTTTGGAGATGGTACCTCATTAAATAGGTATGGAGTAAATTAAGGCTTGAGCAAAGTGATTAGAAGTAAAGTGATTTATTAGAATTAGCTTTATAGGATATATATTATTAATATTCTTTCCATCAATAAATTAGGATTGGGGGCATTCAGGAAATCCAGCCTAAGTAGCTTTGTGGGATGCATAAAATATCTTAAAACTTTAAAAAGCAGATCTTGTGATCACCAGGTGTGTAAAGTTTTTCCCTATATCAAGCACCTATCAGTAACTGCAGGGGATTCAAAATAGTATAATGTTTTTAATCTCCAGAGAACTTTCATAATAATTGGGGTGAGAAGTCTGATGTGAAATACTTAGCAATGACGACAGTAGGGGACCCACATGTTTGTTTAGAGACACATGTATTCCCTGTCTGGTAGCCGCGGACTGATGGCACAGCTTTGCTTTATGGACAATTCTTCCCTTATTTCCACAATATGAAGGCCAGTTTGGATAAGAAAGGGTAAGAATACAGGTGGCCAGGAAGCCTTTCCCCTACCTTTGCTCTCTCAGAACACTAATAAGATACTGAGAGAAATGCTAGAGCTGTACCTAGGAGATTATCATCTTTAGGAATCTCAGTCATCCACACTTCCAGAGTCAGCATTTTGAAAGTTGTTACTGAATTCACTGATTGACAGTTTCCTCAGCACCTCTCTGTGTATGTGTTCTGAATTTGGAAGGTGCCCTGTATCTAACTATATCTGTACCTCTATTATATTATTATTCTAGATTAGGGTATTCCCTTTGGCAAAATAATATACATAATTTATTGAAAGATTAGAATGAACCGACATTGCTAATTTCATTTAGTTCATTGTGAAATATGACCTCTTATAATCCCCATTACACAAATGATGAAACTGACACTTAGGTCATTAATTGCTAAAGGCTACACTAATGATGCAGGCTGGTGATTGATGCCCATGTCTGAAACCACTGTGTATGTGCCTCCTATTAAAAACAGTCATTTGAAAAGACTGATTTGTCATCTACTTTAGGAGGGGTGACTTGAGAATGGTTGGATATAGGTGGACCCTATCCTTTTTATGTCAAATTCATATCAGTGGTAATAAATTGGAGAGTATCTAAATGCTGGAATGAAGATGGCGGCGTAGGTAAACACACCTGAGCTGCTGCCGTACACAACAGTTTCAAAACTACAACTAAAAAATGGAACAGCTATCACCCAAAGCCAAGGGAGGGCTGGCTGAGTGGAAGCTCTACAACTAGACTGAAAGATAAAGAAGCATTCAGGGCACAAGCGCTGAAAAACTGAGGTAGTGGGGTGCGAATGCGATAAGGGCTAGCGGCGGATCCCAGCTGGCGGAGAGTGTTGTTTTCTTCAACTGGAAGAGAGACAAGCTCCTGATCTCTCTGAAATCCAGTTTTTGGGGAGAGGCTACACTGTCTGCCATCAGGCCAGAAAGTGAGGGTGGCTTGCTTGCAGAGCTGCGAGCAAGGATAATTGCTGCACAGGTCGCAGGTGGGAGAGGCGGCTGACAGGCAGCCATCGCTGTTGGCCACGCCCCAGCCTAGTGATGCCCTGAAACTCCACCCCCACAACCTACAAACACACCCAAGCTCCAAGCAGTGGCTTTTGCATATGAATGGCCTTCTCTGTTGCAGTTTAACCTAACAAACTTGCAACAACCTGGTGCAGACAGCCCCAAGCAGGGAGAGAGGACTGAGGTTCTCGCTGTAGCTCCTGCAGGGTGGCCTCAGACAGTAGCTGAACTGCACCCCATTGGAGATCCAGAGCCAGTGTTCCTAGTGGTCAGTTTCAACCCCTCACACCCATAAGTGACACATTCGGGAGACGGATTCAGTGAGCACCAGAGCCCCACTGAAACAAACCGTGTCTCCAACACAGCAACTCTTCCTTTATAGACACAGCAGGTCCTCACAGACAATTGGCCTGGAGATCAATTCCTCCCAGTGTACCAACAGCGATCAAGGCTTAATTACACCAAGACTTTGCACTCAGGCCATAAAGGGATATACCAAAAGCAACCACCTCAGGTAATTGGGGAAGCTGAGCTATTGGCTCCCATAGGCCACCTACCATACAAAGCCACTCCATCGACACAAGGAGACAGCCAAAATGAGACACAGAAGCATGTCACGAATGGGAAAGATGGAGGAAAGTAAACTACTGGACGACACAGAGTTCAGAATCACATTTATAAGATTACTCAAGAATTTTCTAAAAACCTTTGAGAACTTGATGAGACCTCCAAGAATCTTTGTGAGACCTTCAAGGACCTTAAAGAGAATACCAAAAAAATGGAAATCTCTGAAATAAAGAATATACAGAAGCTCAACTATAGATCAACGTACCCCAAGAATCAAACCAAAGATCTGGAATATAAGGAAGAAAAAAATCACCCAACCAGAGAGGCAGAAAGAAAGAGAGTGGGGGGGGGGGGGGGGGGGGGGGGAGAAGGAAGGGGAAGGGGGGGGGGGAGGAAGGGGAAGGGGAAGGTAAGGAAAGGAAAGAATCCAAAAGTGTGAGGATAGTGTAAGGAACCTCTGAGACGGCTTAAAGGGGACCAACATCCGAATGTTTGGGGTGCTAGAAGAAGAGAGCAAGCAGGATATTGAAGGCCTATTGGAAGAAAAATGACAGAAATAGACTTACAACTCCAGGAAGCGCACAGAACCCCAAACAAGAGGAATCCAAAGAGGACCACACCAAGACACATCATAATTAAAATGCCAAGGGCAAAAGACAGAGAGAATCTTACAAGCAGCAAGAGGAAAAGAGCTAGTTACCTGATTTCTCAACAGAAACTATGTAGGCCAGAAGGGAGTGGCAAGAAATAATCAAAATGAACAAGAACCTACAACCAAGTTTACCCAGCAAAGCTATCATTCAGAATTGAAGGGTAGATAAAGAGCTTCACAGACAAGAAAAAGTTAAAGGAGTTCATCAATACCAAACCAGTATTCTATGAAATGCTGAAGGGTATTCTTTAAGAGGAAGAAGAAGAAAAAGGTAAAGGTAAAAAATTATGAACAACAAAAAGACATTAAATACATACTACCAACAAGTGAATCTAAAAATCAAGTGAATAAAAAATCTGAAGAACAAAATGGACTGGTGAATATAATAGAATCAGGGATATAGAAAGGAATTGGACTAACAGTTCTCAGGGTGAAGGGTTCTGAGGGGTGAGGGAAGAGATTGGACAAGTCTTACACCTATGGATGAAGACAGGGGCGGGGGTAAGGGCGTGGGGTGATGTTGGGAATCAGGTGGAGGAGAGCTATGGGGGGCGGCGGGGAGAGGAACACCTGTAATGAATCCATTCTTTAAATTTGTAGTGTTTGTTCCTGCTCTGTATGTATTGTAGAGATAGGGGGAAAATAATGAGAATGTGTTTACAAAAAGAATGAAAAATCAGGCTTTGCTTCATAATCTAGTAAATGGGTTTAAATGTCACAGTAGTATAGTGCCTGAAAGCTGTATTTTACCAGACTCTCAATTTGTAATCATGGTGAGCATAGTAGTTGGAACTATTTGAACTAAAGACCAAATTGCTGTTTTCAACAGGATGCATTCAGTTTACTAGCTTATTCAGATCCTTGGAACAGCCCTGTTGGAAATCAGCTTGACCCAATTCAGAGAGAACCTGTATGCTCAGCTCTTAACAGTGCAATATTAGGTAAGTGAAGCTAAAAAGCACAACTCCAAATAGATACTTTGAATATTTGAGGTGGTATTTGTGTTGACATTTTATATTTTAGTAAAATCATAAGGGAAAGGTTCCCTACATTTTAAAATTAAGATTACCTCAGAATACAGTAATCTTCCTCCATTATTTTTGTTCTAGATTAAATGGATTCAAATGGAATAAAACAGTACATTGGGGTGCATCCTTTTTATGTCAAAGTCACATCAATGGTAATTGGGAAGTTTGGAAATTAGAAATTTTTGTGTACGTAAATATTTCTGGCCTGAGCCACCCATTTTACAACTCCCACCATGCTTCAGATACAGGCACAAAGGGGCTTCCAGGTGACTTGGAAATGCCCTGTCACTTCTAACCCTTTGTCAAATTATAGTTGCATTTAAGTTAAGCATATACAACTACATGCCCTTCCCTAATAAAAAGTGTGTGAGGCATATGAGCCTAACCAGTGGTCAAGGACAATAAAGGGGGTGGGGACATTAGTGGGGGGGAGGGGGTGTGAAATGAGGCGTTGAGGACAAATATGTGATACCTTAATCAATAAAGAAATTAATAAAATAAAAATAGGGGGGAAAAAGTGTGTGAGGAAGAGAACAGCAATTTAAATAAATTTAGCCAGGGGTGAGCATGAAGTGAAAAATTGGAATTTGCTGTTTCCCTGGTTGATTGCCATTCCTATGAGCCAGCTCACCACAGATTCTGATTGTAGTGTTCATATGTTGAGCAAGTCTTTTTCTATGAACTATGTAACTGTACATTTTGTGCATTTATATTTAAACTCTATAGGGTTAATTATGTAAAGCTATGTTTTAATTTCTAGGCAATTCTTTTCAAAGGTAGTTCAGATAAGAGTGATTTTTCACCTGACTCTCTAATTCCTCTTTTTTGGCCAGAATATAAAGCAGGCAAATAAGAGTATTCATATTTGAGCCTTAATCTGTTCTTTTTTTTTCCTTATAAAATTCATTTTTAACTCATTGTGCTAAGGTCTTATACTAGTTTTGGAATAAGAGTAATATCTTAGTGTATTTTTTCTTAAATTTAGAATTTGTTTGTAATAAATAATGTGAGTTTTCTTTGCAATTGTGTTATAATTTCTTTGGTCATGAAATTCATGTAGCTTTGTTAGTAAAAATATATAGAGAGAGCTTAGTAGCAGTGCTGGGATTGTAGGTCAAATTATGGCTTGCTATACTATGGTTTGCTATAGTTGTATTTTTTTTTAAGTTACATTATCAGTAATCATGAAGCCCTATCATTGCTTTGCATTTAGGTACCACTCAAACCTGGAAAAATGTCAAAAGTAATCAGTTTTCTTAAAAGTTTCCTATATCTTGTGTTCTTCAAGGGGATTAAATTTTATAAAATAGTAAATTACTTGGGACCATTATCCAATATGTTATGTATTATATATTGTACTACATATTATGTAGGTTTGCCCACAAATAGTGCTTAAATTTAATAAGATTATTAAACTCCAGAGGAGCTGTCTGCATATCTATAAATACTAAATTATGTAATCTACAACTAGTGCTTGAAGTTGTATTAATTGTATGTAATTTTTGCAAATTTTGTATTAAAAATTTTTAATATATATATATATATTTTATTGATTTTTTTACAGAGAGGAAGGGAGAGGGATAGAGAGCTAGAAACATCGATGGGAGAGAAACATTGACCAGCTGCCTCCTGCACACCCCCACTGGGGATGTGCCCGCAACCAATGAACATGACCCTGACTGGAATCAAACCTGGGACCTCTCAGTCCACAGGCCAATGCTCTATCCATTGAGCCAAACCGATTTCGGCAACAAACAAAAAAATAAATTTTTTAAAATGTTTCTGTTGACTTAAGAGAAAGGGGAGAGGGAGACAGAGATAGAAACATCAATATTAATGATGAGAGAGAATCATCTATTGGCTGCCTCCTGCACATCCCTGACTGGGGACTGCAATCTGGGCATGTGCCCTGACCAGGAATCAAACCATGACTTCCTGGTTCATAGGTAAATGACCAGCTATGAGCCATACTGGTGGCCGGACTAAAAAAAATTTTTAAATGCTTATAACCAGGTGCCTCACTTGGCCAAATAAAATTGTAATAAAGTACTTCTAGATATTTACCTTTCAATGAGGTTATTTCCCTGAAAACCTTCAGGGAGATATTTTTTAAAGGAATTCAAATTAAGGCAGAATTATTTAAAATTACAAAGTCAACCCTGTGTAGAGTTGGCAAAAAAAAAAAAAAAAGTTTATCACTATCAAAATTTAGCTAAATAGCCTCTTGCCACAGGATAGCCAGTATTTTAGTAATCTTAATCCAAAGACCACTTTTCAAACTATACCTTCTCACCAATCTGTGTATCTTACTTTGCAGTCTTATTCTTATTTTCTTAATCTTCTTTCCTCTTGTACTTTAAATCCTGAACTTGCTTCATTATTTTTGTTTCACTCCTTCTAGAACTTTTCTTTCTCTGAAATTACAACCTTTAAATTAAATCATAGGGAGCCTTAGCAGTCATTTATCACTGTTTTTGCTCTTTGTTAACAGATCGTTAATTGGGAATCTATATAAACTTAAAATTCATCTACTCACAAGGAAAAAGTACCAGCTTCTATAAGTTTGGCCACTTTCATCATTCGTTCACTTTTTTTCATTTCTAGCATAGAACAAATATTATTTGTACTATAAATTCTGACAAATTTCTGTTATATAGGACTCTGAATATTTTATTGATAGTTAAAATATTTCAACTATGAATTGTAAATTACTCCTCTAAAATTATAAGTAATTTTGCTCTATCGTCTCCCATGGTGACCCTCACCCCTTGCTCCTTACCAACCCAAATATCATTTACTAATATGCTCTGGGAACAGTTAGGCAGAATCAGTTGTGTTCTATCCCCAGAAGAATAATCCATCAGTGAAATTTACTGAAACCCTGGTGCCTTTTTCTAACTTAGAAGAGAAATACTAAATATTCCTTATTCCCCCATTAAAATCGCAGCCAAAAATATCTTTCCCATTGTAGTTAATATGGAAGCAAAATATTCAGTAATTAAGGCTTTAAAAGTCTAATTCTGCAAGGATTTCCCTTATAGTTTAATACCTAGTACCATATGACCTCGTCAGAGTAGTATTTTTAAGGTATTGTTTGCTTAGAAACTACCTTTGATAGTTAAGAGTTATATATGCATTGATAATTTTGTAAATAATGTGCAATATTTTCCTTAAAAGATGAGTTTTTTAAAAATGTCTTGCTAATTGCTATTTTCATTTTTAATCATTTTTCCTCAGAAACCCACAATCTGCCAAAGCAACCTCCACTCGCCCTAGCAATGGGACAGGCCACACAATGTTTGGGACTGATGGCTCGGTCAGGAATTGGATCCTGTGCATTTGCCACAGTGGAAGACTACCTACATTAGCTATGCATTCAAGGAGTTCACATGGAAGTAGACCAGGTCTGCTGATTTGAAATTTAGATTTTTTTAATTATGTACTGGGGACAGGTTTTTGTCGCTTTACATTGCTTCCTAGTTTACAGCATGATGCAAATGATTTTCTAACTTAGTGTTAGGAGAAATTATTTTCCATCTTTAATCTCTTAGTTGTCTAAGAGTTAAATATTACTGAATCTCAGACGTTCAAATTTATCATCACAAATCCTTTAAAACAATTACCTAAAAGAAACCAAAAAATCCTGCCTTCTTTGTTGGGGGGCGAGGGGGGGAAGGAAATGGAACAAGTTGTGTTGTGTTAGCATGTGGGTGATGTAAATTTCAAATTGGGAGATGTTCCGACCCCCACTCCCATATAAGCATTCAATCAGTGTAACTTGCAAAATGCATAAACATCTGACAGTTTGAATTTATAGTGTTGATGGAAGAAATCATTTTTAATGTGTACTGTAAAACTTGAAATACTCAGGAGCTGAGTGAATATGTTTGTTGCTACTTACAATCCCGACCTGTTAGTCCCAGTAGTTTTGTTTTAACATGGTCTTTTCAACTTTGTTTCCTGTTTAACTACCAACGAATTCTGTTGTAGACTCACAAGTTTAACTTGTATTATAACAGTATTATATGTCAACGGTGTGGTTATGACCTTTATTTATATAAAAACCAAATATTTAGTCAATTTACTGTGTCTTAATTTAATCTTTGTACACCTTCCATTTTTAAGTGCTTAAATGAGTACTATATTGCAATAAAAATGTAGTGATATAATTAACCAGCCATTAAAAATTTACTTCTACAGATATTAGTGTCAACTGAGTTTATATATTAGGTACTTATATATTTCTTATGATTAGTATAAAATTAGAGCTTAAGGAAGAATTTTTACTATAAGTCTAAATTCTATAACCTAAAACTGTTCAGTTTACTAGCCTCCCTGTATTAGGGTGAAACCTGATATAATGTGGGTGACACAGAAATAAAGGGGAAAATTAATGCCTTATTTTCATAATCACAATAAAGACACGTTACTTGACAGTAAAGCAAACTCCCAAACCAGTTAAAAATAAAATTTAAACAGCTGTTCAAGAAGATGACCATACACATCGGTTGACTATTTTGTACACTGAGGTTTGGATCTTTAAGAAAAGTAGGGCTGGGACCGGTTTGGCTCAGTGGATAGAGCGTCAGCCTGCGGACTGAAAGGTCCTGGGTTCGATTCCGGGCAAGGGCATGTACCTTGGTTGCGGGCACATCCCCAGTAGGGAATGTGCAAGAGGCAGCTGATCGATGATTCTCTCTCATCGATGTTTCTAACTCTCTATCTCTCTCTTCCTCTCTGTGAAAAATCAATAAAATATATTAAAAAAAAAAAGTAGGTATTTATCTATACTTAAGTATTGTATTTTCATAGCTACTTCTCTTTCTCATTCTATATTTTGTGAATCAAATTCTCATCAGTAGCACCAAAACATCTGAGATTCTAAGCCATCTGAGAGCTGCAGTTAGAAAGACTTCCTGGATATCCATTTCTCCTCCCTGCCATTCCTACCACAATGCACTCACACTGTGAACTGGGAAAGGGCAGAAGAGGTACCATTAGCAGCATCATTTGTATTTATAATAATTAAATGGATAAATGTTTATAAAAAGGAAGACAATTCCTTTTATTTTTTAAAATATATTTTATTGATTTTTTTACAGAGAGGAAGGGAGAGAGATAGTTAGGAACATCGATGAGAGAGTCATCAATCAGCTGCTGCTTGCACGCCCCCTACTGGGGATGTGCCCGCAACCAAGGTACATACCCTTAACAGAAATCAAACCCTGGACCTTTCAGTCCACAGACCAACGCTCTATCCACTGAGCCAAACCAGTTTCGGCAAGACAATTCTTTTAAATTGCTATTTCTTCCGGGACCCTCAAAGACTATTCCAGAAGATGAAATGTGATGGGGTATTTCCCCAAATAGATTTGTGACTTTTGTAAATCCTTCAAAATGATTTATTAGATTTTTATTACATTTATTAATTTTAAATTAATCTTTTAAACTAAACTGTAGTTCCATACATACAAAGTTCTCATTCTTCATTTAGCTTTGATTTACTTCTTAGAAGTTTTCATCTTTCTGACCATCCACCGTCTTTTAAACCTCTTGGCATTTTGTTTTTTCTGGGTTCCTAGAATAGAAAGTTTGTGCAGTAAGAATACTATAAACATAAAATTCCCAAGAAAGAACTAAAATTTTTCAAGATCCTCTATAATATAGATCTATATGAATATAAATACTAAAATTAGGTCTATTAGATTTTATATCAGATATACATTCCTACTGTACTGACCTGTTTTCCAGAAGCAATTTAAAAGTACTAATTATAGAAGCCATTATAAGAAAAAAAATAATTCATACTTGAATATTTACTATTTCCTTAAAAAGAATATTATTCAATATATAAAACTATCATAACAAAGAAAATAAAGCTGGACCTTACCCCAACCATTATTCAAAAACTGGGCTGCGGCCTTTTTCACTGGTAACCTCTTATTGTTAAGAGACAGGAACTTATTTACTAGAAAAGAGAATTATTTATCATTTCTTTGTTTACTTGCAATATAAAGTGAGAAAAACAGCCCGTAAGGAAATTACCAGTAGTTCTGTTGGTTCCTGGACCATACAAAGAATTTTGTATGAAGGCTTTGGCTGCTTGTTGCCTTGAATCTCTCAGATCTTGATCTTTCAGCCTTCGCGCCAAGTAACTTTTATTCTGGCTGGTAGTCAAAACAAAAAGTCAAAATTAATGAGGTTGATAAAATGCTTAAAGTATTTTTCTTAATTGTCTCAAAAAGTGAAAACAAAATGCACAGTATAATAAAAAATAAATTCCAGGGCTATTTTATAAGAAATAGGCTAATACCTACATTTTTAATAAGCAAATATTTTGTTTTTATTTACACTTTAGTAAGAGCAAATATTTTGTTTTTATTTAAGTATTACAGTTGGTTTTCCCAGAGGATTCAATCTGAAACTGCTACTAATTAAAGTATTTCCCACATAAGCCAACAGTTTTCTCAAAAAGTTACCTTTATATCCTACATGAAAAAAAACTCTTCTTACCCAATAGATTGTATTTTTTCTTTAACTTTCTTGGACTCATTTCCTTTTTCGCATTCTTCATTTTTCTTCTGCGATTTATCTAAAACATAAAAAACTGAGTTTTATTTCTAGTTAGCACTTGCATAAAAATAAATCAAGAACATTTCCTGGAGTTCATTGTTAATTATCTACTCACATCAATTTGTAAGAAATAAGGCAACAGGCCCAAACTAAACTTGGCCAGGCATTCCTATTCCCAGTAACATTGGACTACAAATGTTCTTGACACTTACATGAGAAGTTATTTAAATTAGAATAGTTCATACCTTCTTTTAATTTTCCTGGCGATTTCTTTATGCTAAGGGAGAACACAGAAACACTGATTGGAATGGCAGACAGCAAAAATTACTCAACTCATTACACAGTTAAATTTGATTTTACAAATAAGATACCCTTTTTAATTACCACCACTCTCAGTTTTGACTCAGGATCTTTAATCAGTTTTGGAAAGGAAGTCACCCCCTTAAATTCATGGTCAAAAACTCCCAATCAACAAACTACCCGTGTTTCCCCGAAAATAAGGCCTTGGGCATGGAAAGATAAGACATCCCCTGAAAATAAGACCTAGAGCAACTTTGGGGAAAAAAATTAATATAAGACACTGTCTTATTTTCGGGGAAACAGGGTAGTATATATTGGATGGGAGTATCTTCTCAATTTAAAATTTGAAAGCATATCAACAGGCTTCAAAGAAGCAGATTGGAGGTAAAGTGAAAGGTGAAATACAAAGTGGAAAGTGGTAGACCTGCCTCTTTATTTATACAAGTCACAATGAATCAATTCAACAGTTCAAGCATAAGAGACAAGCAGGGAGATGGACTAGGCTCAAGGAATCTGGTCTGAAAAATGACAAAACACAGTATGAAATGCCTGAACCATACCCACTACAAAAGCTACAAGGAGGAAGTAATGGGGATGGTGGAGAGAATTGGAGGTGACACTGGAGTTTGGTTTTAAAGGATAAAAGGGGAATCTGCCACCAAATACATTTGTTTTTGTTTAATGTATTCACTATCTGAATAAATCAAGAACAGTTCTACAGGACATTTGAAAACCAAATCAAAGATATGGGTCTAAACATTAAGGGAGAGGAGAGAAAAATATTTAAAAGTTAAAACTGAGTAAGGTTTGATTGATTTCATGGTATAGATGAGGAAGAGGATGACTATTTGCTTAAAACACTTGGTGGATGGCAAAACTGCTAAATGAAATGGAGACCAAGGAGGAAGGACAGGTTGGTGGCAGGTAAGAAAAGTATGGGACAAGTTTAGTTTTAGGAGGAGCCTGCAGGAAAATGTCTGCTACTCCACTAAAGATAAACTTCAAGGCGCTTTGTTTATTAACCATCCATCCTGCCCAGCACAACAATTGTTTAATAAATACTCTAGGATTAGGAACTCAGAAGCTCAAATTGGCAGTGGAAATGAACAAAAAAGAAATGGTGGAATATTGAAAAGAGGTAAAATACTTTCATCTTTCCCACCAAATTAAAAAAAATCTGTGTAAATTTAAGCTTTACTGTCTAATTTAGGCTTTATTTCTTTAATTTGGTGGGTTCAAATAAATGCTCCATATGTATTTCAGAGTTGGGTGTATGTAAGCAAGTAATATAACAAGATCCATTACTTACTTTGTCTGTGAAGCTGTAGTCAACTTCTGTAGAACAGTGTCTGGAAGGAGTTTCCTTTTCTTAGATAAAGACATTTTAAAAGAATAGAGTGAGGTACATGACAATATACCTGGGTTGCTTCTGCAGTGACAGGCTTAGGGACTGCCTTATATCCTGACCGCGGCAAAGAACGGCTTTAGGCTGACCACTGCCTCCACTCTCTCCAACTGGGGGAGAACGCCGGCCACAAAGCTCAGAACCCATCCGACATTCTTTGGAAGATCTGGTGAGGGCTGGAAAGGGTGCCCACCCTTCAAATCACTGTCTACCCTGAAAGCAGGTAAGTCCTGTCCTCCTGGAGTCAGTTCCCTGTGGCTAATCTGCCAGACACCCGACAGCAGAGCGTACAGCCCTGAGTCCAAAGCGCCTCATTTGAGTCCGGCAGCAGCCCGGAGGGAAGTGACAGATGTCACGGCGAGCCGAGTGTCAGCGCTGGGTTTTAACCGCATGATCTCAAACTCACAGCTCTCCCCACTCCCATTTTTAAGAGGTGGGCAGCCAAGAGTACGACCATCTTTGCTTCCCCCGATGTCTGAAGAAACATGAGGACTTTTCCTCCACCTCCACAGACTACCAGCTTTGCAACAAACACGGAAATTCTACCCAACGCCGGTTTTTTTGTTTTTTTTTTAAAGAGGTGCCTCCCCGCAACTCGAACCTTTTGTTCAATGAACAGCTCCTCGCGTCGCTTCCTCTTCTCCTTCAGGAGTGTTTTATCCCTGAGAGAAAGGGAGACAAGTCAGTGCGAGGAGAGACAGCGGGCGGGAGGGACGGCTCTCGGGCCCCGCCGGGCGCTCCCACCTGCGCGCCGTCTCCCGAACTCGCCGCTCCTCTGCCCTCGCCTCCGCCTGGGCGCTGGCGAAAGTCAGCTCCTCCGGGGCCTCGTCGTCCAGGTCGTCATCCCCGTCCCCGTCCTCCTCCAAGGGCTCGGCGGCCGCGCCGCTGCTGGGCTGCCCGAGCAGCAGGCCGTGCTCTGCCTCCTCCGAGGCGGGCTGGCCCTCGTCCACCATCGCCGACGCCGACGCGGGAGCGCGGGACGCGCGCGGTCGGAGCTGCACCATGGTCTGAGTCGCGCCGGACCGAACGACCTCTGACCCGGAAGTAGCAGCCCGCAAGCCCAGCGTGACGCCAAGAACAAGCGACACAGGTTTAGTCGCTCCCTGCACGTACTGAAGCCCCAGAGCGAGTGGAGGCGCATGCGCAGGGCGGGGAAGGGCGTGGCCTAAGGAAAGCGGGGGGCGTTTCCTTCCGCTCCGCCCCGACGCGGAGCGCTCGAGGCTGCGGGGTTCCCTCCTGGCTGCTGCCCAGGCCCTGCGGGAGCCGGTGGGCGCGGGGGTTTCCGGCCGGGCGGACGCCGTGCTGCTCTCCCGGCTGGGGAGCTGAGAGCAGGTTTGGCTGGGTCCCCGCCTCCTCCAGGCGGGCTGGCGAGGGTCACGCCGTCCGGTGCCCAGGAGCTGGGTGACCGCAGCCCCAGTGGCCCCATCACCGCTCTTTTAGCACCAGGATCCTTTTGGTCCATCCAGTTCACCAGCGTGTGTGGATCTGACTCCCTTCCCTCCGCACTTGCCGAAGAAGTGGCTTTCAAAGGGGAGAAATGTACTATAGCGGCAGGACCTGCTGTCTGTCACCCAGAAGGTGTCAGACACCGGATTAAATCAGTCCCCGGCACCAAATGTGTGCTAGGCCACTGTGGCCGCAGTTTATCAGGCTGCTCCACCAGCTCCTCCACCAGTCTGTCCGTGCCTCTGTTCTGCTTCATCACTGACAACTTCCCAGTTTATTACCGGGCTCTGCCCCTCACCCTCTCCCCCATTTACATGGAAGCTCTGAGCGAACAGGGAGCCCACCTGGCTCCCTGGTGCAACCCCAAGACCTTGAACAATGGCCAGCCCATCCCAAATCCTGGATCCATGAAAGAATGCCACCCTGCACGTAGTGAATGCAACCCTAATACTATTTCTTTGTCCTCCTAATATATTCCATTTTTTTGGAATATACATGGCCTTCTGACCTGTGTTTATCTTCTCCCACCCATTATACAATACCAAGTGAGTCAGCTATCATTCTCTGATCAAACCAACGTTTCACACTTGCCATCCATTTGTACATGCTATCCCCTTTATGATACACACTCCCCCACGTGGAACTACTGTGTTTCCCCGAAAATAAGACATCCTCCAAAAATAAGACCTAGTGCATGGAAAAGTAAGACATCCCCTGAAAATAAGATCTAGTGAATCTTTGGGAGCAAAAATTAATATAAGACACTGTCTTATTTTCGGGGAAACAGGGGATTTATACCTGAAACACAGGCCAGGTCTGACTTCCTTTAAAAGTCAAAGACCTTGCCGAAGCCGGTTTGGCTCAGCGGTAGAGCGTCGGTCTGCGGACTGAAGGGTCCCAGGTTCGATTCAGGTCAAGGGCATGTACATTGGTTGCGGGCACATCCCCGGTAGGGGGTGTGCAAGAGGCAGCTGGCCTATGTTTCTCTCTCATCGACGTTTCTATCAATAGCTCTCTATCTCTCTCCCTTCATCTCTGTTAAAAATCAATAAAATATATATTTTTTTAAAAAAGTCAAAGACCTTAACATCTACCAATCCCACTCCGCCCATCTTTAACTACATTTTCCTCTGAATCTTGAACAAAATTCTATTACTGCAGTTTCTACATTGAATAATAGTGCACATGACAGTTGTCCCAACATTCTGTCAAGTCCTTGAGGGCAAGGCCCACATCTTACTAATTATATTTCTAATGCCTATCATGTGGTAGACATTCAATAATACTAAATTGAATAATTTCTACCTTACATCTTTATTTTCAATTCTTCTTTCATTTTCTCTAATAAAACCAAAACATGAACAGAAATGATAAAACACATACACAAAGATGCTGGTACCAAAACCCAATTTGAGAGAAGTTGCAAAGAGCAGTACTGAAATATCTGGGCCTTGGGTAGACAGAAATTAAAAATAATCAGACTCTGAGACAGCATACTGACTTCCATCATTGCTAACACTCGGAAAATGTTTAAAGTAACAGAAAAACCCAACAACAAACCTATTAAAAGAGAACAATTGTATTTTATGTGCAAAAACTACATTATAAATATTACAGTCCCTTCAGTATACATGCCTTGAGCCACTTGTGTCAAGTGTGAAGTGGACCCTAAAGGCTGACCCTTCAGATACCTTGTAGGTTATGAACATTCCTCTTATGCTAAGAGCCTTTGGGATTTATTAAAAGGTACTAAGGGCCCAGTGCATGAATTCGTGTACCTTGAACTGTGTGTGAGCTGCGAGGCTGCAGTGAGCACAGTAGCAAGTCTCTGCCCATCCTCTGCACCCCTGCCTGGCCCCTCCCACTGCAGACCCCAATCTCCCTCTGCCTGCAGCCCCGCTCCTGCCGCAACCGCTCCCATGTGCTCATGTCCTGGAGCGATTGGGGCTGACGCCAGCAGCGGGTGCAAGCGGGGCCAGCGCCGATAATGGGAGTGGCAGCTGCTGCCCTGACCACCCCTCAGTAGCAAGGGAAGGTGGAGAAGCCCTGAGGAGCGATCAGAGCCAGCAGCCGCTGCTCACACCTGCTGATGGTGCCAAGCCGAGTGGGGATGGGCTGATAGTGACAGCTCTGGCAGCAGATGTGAGTACCAAAGTGGTACCATGGCACACAGGAGCAAAGAATTTTCCGTAACCACCAGAGGCTCACCCGATGACAGCGACCGTGCCCTGCCTTGGTCTGGAGCCCCCATTCACCTGATCCACCATCCTGCCCCGGCCAATGACCCAGCATGTTCTGCACGCGCCCCCTGGTGGTCAGTGCACGTCATAGTGACCAGTTCTGTTGTTCCACTGATTGGTCTATTTGCATATTAGGGTTTTATATATATAAGCTAGAGGCCCAGTGTACAAAATTTGTTCATGGAAGAGAGGGGTGTCCCTCAGCCCAGCCTGCACCCTCTCCAATATGGGACCCCTCGAGGGATATATGACTGCCCATTTAGGCCCAATCCCGACCTCTCACAATCTAGGATTGTGAGAGGTCGGGATTGCTTGCCTGCTCACCTGCCTGCCAGCCTGATTACCTCCTAACCACTCCCCTGGCAGCCTGATTGATGCCTAAATGTTCCCCTGTCACCCTATTTGCCCCCAGCTGCCCTTCCATGCAGGTCGGTCACTCCCAACTTCCCTAATCTGCCAGCCTGGTCACCCCTAACTGCCCTCCCCTGCAGGCTTGATCACCCCCAACTGCCCTCTCTTGCAGGCTTGGTCCCTCCCAACTGACCTCCCCTGCTGCCATCTTATGGTGGCCATCTTGTGTCCACATGGGCGCAGCCATCTTGTGTGTTGGAGTGATCGTCAATCTGCATGTTACTCTTTTATTAGCTAGGATAGAGGCCTGGTGAATGGGTGGGGGCCAGTTGGTTTGCCCTGAAGGGTGACCTGGATCAGGGTGGGGGTTTCCTTGGGGTGTGGGGCGGCCTGGGCGAGGGGCCTGTGGTGGTTTGCAGGTTGGCCATGCCCCCCGGCAACCCAAGCAGAGGCCCTGGTATTTGAGATTTATTTATCTACTACAATTGAAACTTTGTGACCTGGAGTGGAGCCAAGCCTTCTACTCACTCCATGACAGCAGCCATTTCTGTTGGGATTTATTTATCTTCTATAATTGAAACTTTGTAGCCTGGAGTGGAGGCCTAGGCTGGCCAAGGTTGCAGAAGCTCTGCTTCCTTGGGGCAATCCTAGCCTCCTGCTCTCTCTAGCTCTGTGGCTGCCACCATTTTTGTTGGGATTTATTTATCTTCTAACATTAAAACTTCGTAGCATTGAGTGGAGGCCTAGGTTGGCAAGGGCAGGCAGAAAGTTTGGCTTCCTCCATTGCTGGGGAAACCCAAGCCTCACTCCTGCTCTTCATGGCCACAGCCATCTTGGTTGGGTTTATTTGCATATTTGCTCCTGATTGGCTGGTGGGCATGGCTGGAGGGTGTAGTGGAAATATGATCAATTTGCATATTACTCTTTTATTAGATAGGATGCCATGCAAATGCAGTACAAAGTTTTGTGTGATCATGTCTTGTTATCTATTTCCACAAAAGTCAAGGATGTAACATTAAATCAATTCTTGTAAGGGGCTGAGGTGATGAGACTGTGTAATCACCCAAGGGACCAGCTGATCCAAGGGCCATTGTTATGTATGACCTTCCTACACTGTTTACTAAAGGCCACTGCTCCCAGTCAGGCCTCTGATGCTTGCTGAGAACAAGCGGGCATTCCAAAGGCTCTGGGTACTATATTAGTGTGGGGCCTGAGGAGGAGAGCTATGTTCTTGCTACTTTACTCTGAGGTAAAGTCCTATTGAAAACACTCCCTTCAGAATTCAGTGTCTGGGAAAGCTTGGCTTCTGTGTTTATAATATCAAGAAATAGTCAACCATCACCTCTCCCTTTCCTCCTTGGCTGCTGAGAAAGCGAGTACTGCCCAGCTGGTGTGGCTCAGTTGGTTGAGCGTCATCTCATACACCAGAAGGTCGCAGGTTCCATTCTGGTCAGGGCACATGTCCCCCAGTAGGGGACATGCAGAGGCAGCCAAATGATATTTCTATCTCTCTCCCTCTCCCTTCTTCTATCTGAAATCAATAAGATAATAATAAAAAAAAAAAACACATATATTTTTTAAAAAGGTTAGTACTACATTTTAGTCAGTAGTGAATACCTTTTGGAATCTATATATTTGTGTCATTTTGGGGTGTGGGCCTCATCCTGATTTTCTACCTTGTTGCTACTTTTCCTTCTTGAGTTCCTGTTCTAGGAGATCCCACATTCTTTGAGGTAAAGCAGCCAAACCAGGTAAACACGGAAAAGAAAAAATCCTCAACAAGTATATCTCTCAGGGTCACATCTGTATACCATATATTACCTCCTATAAAGAGTGATTTTATTTTCCACCAAAATTTGTATAAAAATCAGAAATAGCAATGTTTTACCTATCTACTTCTCTCTTTGCCAAATAGCAAAAATATGATTGGGATAATTACATTTTTAAGACAATCTAATTAGAATTTCCCCCCTCCCCCCCCCGCCCCCTCAATAACCAACCAAACACATCAGAGGATCAGAGGTATGTTATGTTTAAGTTCAAACCAAATAACATGCATTAACTTTACAGTTCTCTGACTTCTTGTAATTATATTTGCTACTGTTACCTCTAAGGCCCCTACCACTTATCAACAGTTTGGATCCCAGCCAGGAAATCAGAGAATATTTTTAGATCTTCCAATATTCAGCTCCCCATCCACAAGACTGTGCGTTATCTGTTTGTGGCCTGGTACTCAGATGTACTACAATCTCTCCCTTCCCCAGGGCAATTAGGAAACCTTCTCATCTGCATGAGGAGCCAGGGCTTCAGGAAGGATCCTCCCACAGAGCCCCTGGAAATGAAACCTGAAACAGAAGGACAAATACAGCAGTTAGGAGCTAAACCAACATACTCCTTCAGCAAGTCACACATTTCTTAATTTTACCCAAAGTAAAATCCAAATTCTCACAAATGTGGCATTATGAGCTTTTGGGCCCACTTCTTTCATCTAGTCTCTGACAACTCAACATACAGACATTTCACCATGAGTTGGTCCTTGTGATCAAGAAAATTTAAGAAATTAAATACCTAGTATTTAGGTGCTATAAAAATAATTTTATTTTAAAGAGCAGAGGGAGATATGATTGTAAAATGTATTTCATGATTAAATTGTCAAACTCATAAAATGTTGTTTTTAGTTGATTTGAGAGAGAGAGAGAGAGAGAGAGAGAGAGAGAGAGGGAGAGAGAGAGATATTTGTTGTTCCAGTTATTCATGCATTCATTGGTTGCTTCTTGTATGTGCCCTGACTGGAGATTGAACCGGAAACCTTGGTGAATTGGGATAACTATCTAACCAACTGAGCTACAGGGCCATAATGAAAGTTTTACGTTTTATGATATGTACATACTACATTAAAATAGCATTCATATGTACTAAGGACAAGAGAAAAAATAAGTTCATGCACCATTCAGATCACAAGATTTTAGCTGCATCAACAGGCCCCTCAAACCAACCATTTCACAACTAGCTCTGACTTGTAGTCAGAAAAAAAAAGAGCAAAGAGGAGGAAGAAAAACCAATGATTTCTGCTTCCTTCAAGAGAAAACACTTAGGGCAGAAAAATAGCAGGGTTTTGTAGTATTTAATTAAGAAAACCAACTGAGCACAATTAAAAATGAAAAAAGCATTTGCTCAATGTAGTAATCTATCATATTACCAATTCGGATGCAACACAAATCATCAATGCCTTAGCCCTTAAATACTGTTCATGTCACAAAATGCCACTAAGGGGCATCCCTGACTGAGTGGCATTTCCACTCCTGCCACGCTCAGCGTGAACACTGGCCGCTAGAAAGCTCCTCCCCAGCATAGTGGTCATAGGACTCCAAGAAGTATGGCCTCCAAGGTACGAAGAGCTTTCAGGGAATTTCCATATCCTCAATCCCACATGGTCTCCTTCCTAAGAAAGTGACTGTCAAGTGCCCCTTTTCACTACACCCTTCCCCACTTCACAAAGGCAGGCTGCACCCCTCACTCACCCCAAATCTTAGATGGTGTCCTAGCCCAGAGTGTGAAAACCTACGGGGTGCAAACTAAAGAGACATTTGAAATATTGGTGTAGGATAAAGAAAAAAAATGCTTTCTGAAGACTGGATATCACATCCTTATTCAAATATGGCCTTTTCATCCTAGCTTTCAATAAAATGGAAAGAGGGTCTGACAGAATTGTCATTTAACAGGCACTATGGCATTTTAGCATGCAACTTGCAAGAAGGTCCAAAATCTGAGTGGCCATGCCATATAAAATTCCTTTCATGCCGGGGTGTATGTAGCCCAGTTCTCCCATGTACAACCATCAGGAAAAAACAAAAACTAAAGAATTACAATTGACATTGAAAAGGTAATACTGAGCTTGGCCAGTGAAAATCAGCCCTGCCATCCTTCGATGGGAATAACAGACACAGATAAAGCTGTAGATGAGTAGGAAACATATTTTCCCAGGACAAGCTGCAAAGAATCCCAACAACTCCCTTCTGTAACTGTATACTTTTTTACTCACATCACTTTTATTACAATACTAGAGGCCCAGTGCATGAAAATTCATGTACTAGAGGGGGAGTCCCCAGCCTGGCCTTCCCCCTCTCACAGTCCAAGAACCCTCAGGGGCAGAGGCAACCTGGCAATCAGGGGAAGGTGATAATTAACACACCTCTGCTGCTGCCACTGCCGGTGGCACAAGCCTCAGCCGGTCCTGGTTACCTGAGTCTTGGGCTGGCCCTGGGTGGCTGGGTAACCACCATCCGAGGCTTGTGTGCACCTCGGGCTGAACCTGGGCAGCTGGGGGGCTGAGGGAACTGGGGAACTCTGGAGGCATGAACACAGCTGCCTTTATCTTGGCCGCATACCTGCTGCTCCGACAGGGATGAGGAGACTGGGCACCACCATCTTGTGGCTATGGCGCCGCCATCTTTGAGGGCATAGCAGTCAATTAGCATATCCTCTCCTTATTGGCTGTGGGTGCTGCAATCTTTTTTGGGGGGCAGTCAATTAGCAAATTTCCCCCTTATTGGCTGTGGACTCTGCCATTTTTTAAGGTGAGGCAACAATTACCATATTTGCTCCTTATTGGCTGTGGGCGCTGCCATCTTTGCAATGGTGTGGTGGTCAATTAGCATATTCCCTTCTTATTAATTAGGATACTAGAGACCCAGTTTATGAAATTCATGCATGGGTGGTGGGGTCCCCTCAGCCTAGAATGCACCCTCTCCAATCCGGGATCCCTCGGGGGATGTCCAACTGATTTAGGCCCAATCCTGGGGATCGTTCCTAAACCAGCAGTCGGACATCCCTCTCATAATCTGGGACTGCTGGCTCCTAACTGCTCACCTGCCTGCCTGCCTAATCGCCCCTAACTGCCCCCCTGATCATCCCTGACCACCTATGCCTACCAGCCTGATCGCCCCAAAAGTGCTGGCCTGATTACCTACAACTAACCCCCGCCCCCCCTGCTGGCATGGTCACCCCTAACTGCCCCTCTACCATCCTGGTTGACCCTTACTGCTCACCCTGCTGGCCTGGTCACCCTCAACTGCCCCCCTCTGTTCTCCCTAACTGCTCCCCCTGCCAGCTTGTTCTCCTTTCACTGTCCCCCTGCCGGCCTAGTTGCCCCCAACTGTGCCCCTGCTGGCTTGCTTGCCCCAACTGTCCCCTCCCCTCCCCAAGCCTGGTTGCCACCAGCTGCCCTCCTCCCCCCTGCCCCCCTCCCACTGACCTGGTCACCCCACGCTGCCTGCTGTTCAGTCATTTGGTTGTCTCTCACTAACCCCCCTGCCGGCCTTGTCGCCCCACACAGCCTGCTGTTCAGTTGTCCATCTGGTTGTTTTGGTCATGATGGCCCCTGGTTTTTATATATTAGGATTATTGTAATTATTTTATTAGTTATTGCTGTTAATCTCTTATTGTGCCTAATTTATAAATTAAACTTTATCATAGCTATGTATGCATAGGAAAACACAGTACATATAAGGTTCAGTGCTATCTGCGATTTCAGGCATCCACTGGAGGGTCTTGGAATATATCCCCTATGGATAAGAAGGGACTACTGCAGAATCATGCTAGAGTTTGGTAAGTGATATCTTGTGGGTTTAATTTAATTTCCCTAATGATTAATGATGTTCAGCATGTTTTCAATGGGTTTATTGACCTTATGTATTGTATATATTTGGAAAACTATTTGAATATTTGACCCATTTTTTAATTGTATTTCTTTTTTATTGGGTAGTGAGAATTCTTTATATATTCTGGATACTCATTCCTTATCACATATTATACTTGCAAATATTTTCTCCCATTCCATAGGTTCTTTTTCTCTTAATTGATGGTGTCCATTGAAGAAGATTTTAATTTTAATAAAGTCCAATGTATCCATTTTCCACACTTGATCTTAGCCAAAAGGCCTAGAAGTGATAATTTATCCATTTTTTCTTATGTTATCTGTGATTTTTATGTCATATAAAAGGCTTTGACAAATGAAAGGTTACAAAGATTTACTCCTGCATTTTCGTTTAAGAATTTTATATATTTGTAGCCCTTATATTTAGGCCTCTGATCCATGTCAGTTATTTTTTGTATATGCTGTGAAGGGGTCCAATTCCAATCTTTTCCATGTAGCTATCCAGCTTCTCCAGCACCATTTGTTAAAAAGACTATTTTTTCCATCACTGCTTTGTCTTCATACTTTTTCAAAAGTCAATTGGCCATAAATGTGAGGGGTTTTTTTCGGGACTATCAATTCTATTCCACTGATCTGTTGAAAACTGTAACTTTGTAGCAAGTTTTGTAATTGGGAAGAATAAGTTATACAAGTTCTTTCTTCTCGTTGTTCTGGCTTTTTGGGTCCCTTACATTTTCATATAAATTTTAGGATCACCTTATCAGTTCAGCAAAGAAGCCAGAGGCAATTTTGATAGAGAATGGGTGAATCTCCAAATCAATTTGGGGAGTATTGCCACATTTATAATATTAGTTGCCCAATCCATATACATGGATGTCCTTCTATATATTGGGTCGGCAGCTAAGTAATTGCGGGTTTCACACATATATGGCTTCAGTTGAATTTTTAGGTTTGCAGACGTAGTACAAATGTAAAACACATTTTGTTATTTGATAGTTGGCTATTCAGCTGTTAATCAGTAAAAAAAGGTTTTTGATCTGTTTTGTAGTTTTCGTTTGGCGTTCATTGAAAAATGGAAAATCAAAAGGAACATTTTCGTCATATTTTGCTTTTTTATTTCCGCAAAGGGAAAAACGCATCGCAAGCTCATAAAAAGTTATGTGCTGTTTATGGTGACGAAGCCTTAAAAGAACGGCAGTGTCAAAATTGGTTTGCCAAATTTCGTTCTGGTGATTTTTCACTCAAAGATGAAAAACGCTCTGGTCGTCCAGTTGAAGTTGATGACGCCCTAATCAAAGCAATAATCAATTCGGACTGTCACAGTACAACACGTGAGATTGCAGAGAAGCTTCATGTATCACATACATGCATTGAAAATCACTTAAAACAACTTGGCTATGTTCAAAAACTCGATACATGGGTTCCTCACGAACTGAAAGAATCACAGTTAACGCAACGCATTAGCAGCTGCGATTTGCTAAGGAAACGTAATGAAAATGATCCATTTTTAAAACGACTGATAACTGGCGATGAAAAATGGGTTGTTTACAACAATATCAAGCGGAAAAGATCGTGGAGCAGGCCAGGTGAACCAACTCAAACAACATCAAAAGCTGATATTCATCAAAAGAAGGTTTTGTTATCAGTTTGGTGGGATTACAAAGGAATTGTCTACTTTGAACTCTTACCACCCAACCGAACGATCAATTCTGATGTCTACATTGAACAACTAACGAAATTAAACAATGCAGTTGAAGAAAAGCGGCCCGAATTGACAAATCGAAAAGGTGTTGTATTCCATCATGACAATGCAAGGCCACACACATCTTTGGTCACTCGGCAAAAATTAATGGAGCTTGGTTGGGATGTTTTGCCACATCCACCATATAGTCCTGACCTTGCACCATCTGATTACTTTTTGTTTCGATCTTTACAAAACTCCTTGAATGGTAAAAATTTCAATAATGATGATGATGTCAAATCGTACCTGATTCAGTTTTTTGCTAATAAAAACCAGAAGTTTTTTGAACGTGGGATTATGATGCTGCCTGAAAGATGGCAAAAGGTCATTGATCAAAATGGGCAATGCATTACAGAATAAAGTTATTTAGTTCCATAAAAAAATGGTCTTTGATTTTTTTAAAATCCGCAATTACTTAGTTGCCGACCCAATATTTAGGTTTTATTTACTTCTTTTGGTAGCATTTTATAGTTTTCAGAGTATAAGTTTTACATACAAGGTGATTTAAAAAAAAAAAAAGGATGTCTTTCTAGTTCTTACCACTTACACAAAAATAAAGAACTATGGATTGAGGACACACGCAGACTGTAGCTGATTAAAAATATCTGGAGAAGATATTGTATCAGAATGGCATGGGTGGTACCAACTCATAAGTATTTTAAAAATATGTAGCTGAGTTTGAAAACCACTGGTTGAAGTAATAACAAGAGTTTCAGTGGTATTTTAGAATTGTTTATTAGTTATTTCTATTGTATCTCATTTGAGAAAGGAATTAAGCAGACTGACAATAAGATATAAACTAAATTAAAAGTGAAGACAGAAAAATCAGGGGTGAAACAAGAAAGCAAAAAAGGTGAAAACATGAATGGGGCTAAAAATGCATACTATGATGATCTATCTACTCTTTCCACACAAACAGGGAAAACAGAATCAGTATCCTAATAAAGCCACAAGTACAAATATTCTTGGCAATTAGACCAGAGACATGTGTCTCGCAGCCTCACCATGAGAGCAGTGGAAAGAAGTTCTGGCTGGTATCTCCAAGGCTTACTGCTCAGCATTTGTTGAGCTTACCTACATCCAAATGCCTGCCATCACTAAATCTACTTAAAAAGACAAACAAAAGCAAAGCCAAAGGAATCAAAGAAAGCTTTCAAAACGTGAAAAAATAAAAGTATTATGGCAAACTTCTTGTAAAAAGACAGAGTTACCTTAGTCTACAGTTAACTATATTTTGTTCTTCTAAAAAAGCAACGACAGACCAAATAAAACACAAATTCGGTGTCTTTTTTTTTTTTTTAATTAGAACATAACAATAAAATGTCTTTAGATGACCTTGTCCAAACCTGCTCAATGCCTCCCATTTCCCACCCTGGTAATCCCTGTACCTGAATTTGTTAGTGGCTTGAGTGGTTTCCATGTTAAATTCTGCCACTGGTACACCCCTGGCAGATACCTGGGGGGCAAACATGGCGGCAGGATAAACCACGGAGGAAGTTCCCACCTACAAAGCAAACAGATGGAAACAGACAAATGACCACACTTTTCGAGAAGAAACATTTTTTTAGAAAATCTCACATAAGGTTGCAGGTGTGTATGGGGGGGGGGGGGACGGTAAGGGGAGACTAAGCTGGATGAGATAAATGGAGAGGATTTAAGGGACAAATCAGGAGTTAGGAGGCGTCTTTTTGGCAGTTCCCTGGAACTCAGAAAGATATGTTATGAAAAGGAGGGTTGTGCAAATGGAGAGAGTGGCAACAAAATGACTCATCACCTTTTGGGGTTAGTTTTATTTTTGTTTCTGCTCTTTGAAGTGATGTAAATAATCCATGATCCTTTTTTTTAAGTTAGGTAATTCAAAGAAAAAAATAGACATATCATTCATAACCCTACTACCCCAAGATAACAACTATTCACAATTTGATATATATTCTTTCAGGTTATCCCCTATGGATATAGTTTTATAAAAATTCTTTACAAGAATGGGAAGACTAGCTGGCTTATTTCTTCCCTGACTCACTTCTTCTACCTCTGTGACTTTGTAAATAAACTTTTGCTTGTATTTGAGTCTTCACTCTGAATTCTTTTTTAGCCAGAACTTAAGTACTGAGGTTTGGGGCAGGGGTGCAGGGGTGATTGGGGAAAACCAGCTTTTTTCACTTAGCCACTGACCCTGTATTCAACTTCGGGATGCACTCAGTAAATACTGACTGAATGAGTGCGTGTCCATGAGGAAGTGGCTCTGCTTTTAGAGAAGTGTTAAGGAAAATGTGAAACATGCCTACCCTTTGTCCGGTTAATTCCATTTCTAGAAAATGTGTCCTAAGACAGTAATTTGATGAGGATGTTCAAAGTTATGTCTGAGGCCCTGGCCAGGTAGCTTAGTTGGTTACAGCATCATCCTGGTATGCCAAGGTTGCAGGTTCGATACACCGTCAGGACACATAAAAGAAGCAACCAATTAATGCATAAATAAATGGAATATCACATCAATGTTTCTCTCTCTCCCTAAAAATTAATCAACATATTTTTAAAAAGAGTTATGTCTGAGGCAATTCACCATAATGTTGTTTAAAATATATTTAAAAATAATTTTTTAATTTCTTTATTGATTTAAAATATCAAAATTTGAGCCCAAACTGGTTGGCTCAGTGGATAGAGTGTTGACCTGCGGACTGAGGGTCCCGGGTTCGATTCCAGTTAAGGGCATGTACGTTGGTTGCGGGTGCATCCCCGGTGGGGGGTGTGCAGGAGGCAGCTGACAGATGTTTCTCTCTCATCAATGTTTCTGACTATCTCTCTCCCTTCCTCTCTGTAAAAAAAAATCAATAAAATACATTTAAAAAAAATAAAAGTAAAAATAAAATAAAATATCAAAATTTGAAACAGCCAAAATGTCCAACAATAGAAAATTGGTTAAAAACATACACCAGAACACTGCATAGCCAATTAAAGATGATGTGCTGACATGGAATATGCTAAGTGAATTGCTACATGAATAAAACAGAACACATATAGACCCATTTAAAAAAAAATTTTAATGACTATTTACATCAATGTTATTTTATATTGGTTTCAGGTATGCAGTACAGTAGTTAACTATTATATACTTTACAAAGTGCTTCCCTCAGTATTTCCAGTACCCACCTTACCTCATACTAGTTACTGCAATACTAGAGGCCTGATGCACGAAATTCATGCAAGGGACTCAGCCCCCACCACCGCAGCTTTGTCTGGAAGGTTATCTGGTCTAATTAGCATATTAAGCTTTTATTATTATAGATTATTGACTAGACTCCTTAAGTTATAATTTACATCCCCAGGCCTGTTTCATAACTTCCAATTAGTACTTATCAATTCCTTCATCTTTTTCACCCAGCCCCCTAACCTCCTCACCTCTAACAACCATCAGTCTGTTCTCTGTATCTCTGAGTTTGTTTCAATTTTTTGTTCATTTATTTTGTTCTTTAGATTCCACATGTAAGTGAAATCATATGGTATTTGTTTTTCTCCATCTGACTTATTTCACTTAACACAATACCTTCTAAGTCCATCCATGTTGTCACAAATGGTAAGATTTCATTCCTATCATGGCTGAGTAGTAATCCATTGTATATATGTACCACATCTTTTTTATCCACTCATCTAATGATGAGCACTTGGGTTGCTTCCATATCTTCACTACTTTAAATAAGGCTGCAATGAACATAGGGTGCATATATTCTTTCTAATTAGTGTTTTGGATGTATGAACCCATTTTTAAAATTTTTAGTCACTATGTGTACATCTGCATATTGAAAGGTCTAGACCAGAGGTGTGCAAACTTTTTCCGTAAAAGGCCAAATAGTGCTGTTGTGTTTTGTTTTGTTTTTTAGATTTTATAGGCCATATAGTCTCTGATGCAAACATTCAGCTCTGCCAATGTAGTGTGAAAGTAACTATAGACTATACAAAAAAGAAAGGGCATGGCTGTGTTCCAATAAAACTTTATCTACAAAGATAGGTGGCAAGTAAGATTTGGCCCATAGGCCACAGTCTGCTCATCCCTGGTCTAGAAGAAATCATACTAAAATGCTAACGAATTATTTTTGGATGGTAGAATTATCGGATTTTTAATTTCCTCTTTTTGTGTTATCTCAATTAAATTTAATAACAAACATGTATTATTTTAAAAATTAGAACCAATAACATGCTCTTTTTATGATATTTTTTGTGGGAGGGAAGGATTTGAGAAGCCAAAGACATGGTCTTGCATTGTTTTGTATTTTAAGATAAATTCTTATTCACTGTTTTTTAGTTTTTCTTTAGAACACCACAACTCTCAAAACACATCTTAAGAGAAGGAAAGAAGAAAAGAAAGCAAAAAGGAGGAAGGGACAGAGGGAGGGAGAAAGAAAGGAAGGGAGAGAGAAGGGAGAGAGGGGAAGGAACAACATTAATCTCCACCCCAGCTCTGGTGTTTCAGAAAACCCCCTCAATCAGGGAAGAACAAAACCTACCACTAGACATAAGTCACAGAGGGCCAGCTCTCTGTCAACCTCCTCCAGAATGGCAGGGTCCAGGTTTTCTCCAAACCACACAACGTAAGGTCGCAGCAGGCCCCCGCAGCCTGCCTCTTCACACCTGAAAAACACCATCCTTAACACAGCGCTGAGCCTTGCCCGAAGGTCTCCCAGCTGGGTCCGAGGAAGACAAGCGGCTGCCCCAAACCAGTCTGTCTAGATGGGTCACTTCATCCTCTGATCACCATCCCTGCCCTCCCAAACCATAGGTCCTTGTCCTGAATATAAAGCACTAACTTTAACTTCCTTATAAAGTTTCTATTTTGTCTGAATGCATGGAGTTTAGAGACAAATGTGTTTCAGCCAAGCTTGACTTCTCTTTCTTAAACAGTTTTCTCTTTCATAGTAACTTCATCACACTCAAGGGTACAACTCTGCTCAGTGACCCAGGCTTGGGAGGACACACTGAACTAAGAATTGTCTCAAACACCCCAATCATCCCCTAATTTCATCAATGACCTCCTTTTATTTTCTCTGAGATTCGCCTCTCTCTGGTGCTGTCTATAACCAAGTTCTCCAGTATCAATTACTAGAAATCTATCACCATTTCCACCCCATTCTCTCTTAGTCATTTTATTCTACCTTCTAAAATAACCTCACCAAACATAATTTTCATCATATTATTGTCCTACTAAGGAACCCCTCAGGATTCCCTGTTCTTTCAGATAGAAATTTCAGCATTTAGTAATGAAAGCCTTATTAAGAAGAAAAAAAAAGGATTCTGTGGTCAAATAAACCAGGGAAATATTAGCATATTATAACCACTTTTTTAGAGAGTAACAATGCACTTTAGCATATAAAATGCCCTGAGAAGTCCTACAGTAAAGCAAACATACTCAGACTTGGCTTAATCTAATGTGATCTGACCACATAACATCTTTTTTTCCAAGCAATGCCTATGAACATCACGTGGATAGAGTTCTCTCTGAAACACTTTTGGAAATGCTTTTTAATATCTGGCTTTGAAAACTTGACAAAAATCTTTCTAGGTTTTAAAAAAAATCTACAACATTTTGGTCCTATAATTTCATCTTTGTAAGACCTTTCACTGTCTCCATAAACCTGGATTAATAACATTGGTGAGGAGGAGGAGGATGAAGATGACGGTAACTAATGAAAAACAAGAAGGGTTGGAAAGCAGCAGTTCTCTTTCTACAGGTTTCGTTCATCCTCTGCACTCCTGCCCTTAGCCTCACAGGGCAGGGCTGGTATTTAGATTTGAGGATTTAAGAGGCATCTCACCAAATGAACTTGGATTTTGATTCTTACTTTTCTTACAACCTGGAACACCAAATATAGATTAAAGATTTTACTCACCGGGGAAGTTTTTCCAATGGGATGCTGGCATCTTGTGTTTCGGGATCTGGAGCACTGAACAAACAATATTAGAAAAGAAAAAAATGTCATTGGTATTATCAAAAAACAAAGGAATAACATAACCCAATAAATATGTATATTTGCTTGGCAGGATATGGTACAAAACTCCTAATTAATACATGAGCTAAATGGACACCAAATAATTACTAGTGGTTTTACCACAAGAGGGAATTTGTATGCAGGAAGAGGTAGAGCAGCCATATGCATTAACGGGGGAGTTTTGTGACTTACATTTTATATGTTATCATTTGAATTTCCTTCAATGACATTATGTTAATACTAGAGGCCCAGTGCATGAAACTCATGCATGGGGGGTGTCCCTAATCCCAGCCTGCAACCTCTCTAATCTGGGACCCCTCGGGATCCTAGATTGTGGGATCAGGTCTAAATTGGCAATTGGGACATACTTCTCACAATCTGGGACTGCTGGCTCCCAAATTCTCACCTACCTGCCTGCCTGATTGACCCTAACTGCTTCTGCCTGCCAGCCTAATCACCCCCAAACCACTCCCCTGCTGCCTGATAGATGACTAACTACTCCCCTGCCAGCCCGATTGCCCCCAATTCCTCTCCCCTGCAGGCCTGGTTGCCCCTAATTGCCCTCCCCTGCAGGCTTGCTCCCCAACTTTCCTCCTCTGCAGGCCTGTTCACCCACAACTACCCTCCCCTTCCGGCCATCTTGTGGTGAGCATCTTGTGGCTATATAGGGGCAGCCATCTTGTGTGAGGGCGTGACAGTCAATTTGCATATCACCTCTTTATTTTATAGCCTATTTCTTGTATACTTTATACTGATTTAAAATGATCAGGTAGAATTTTTCTCAATATTCTAAGTCTACTCTTTTTAAAAATATATATATTTTATTGATTTTTTTTACAGAGAGGAAGAGAGAGAGATAGTTAGAAACATCGATGAGAGAGAGAAACATTGATCAGCTGCCTCCTGCACACCCCCTACTGGGGATGTGCCTGCAACCAAGGTCCATGCCCTTGACCGGAATCAAACCTGGGACCTTTCAGTCCGACACTCTATCCATTGAGCCAAACCGGTTTCGGCTGTCTGAGTCTACTCTTAATTTCTTTCCCTAACTACAATAATAATACACGTTCATCATAGAAATGTTGAAACATTCAAAAAGATATAAAGCAGAAATCAGAATTACCTATCATCCCACCACTCCTGATAATCGCTATTAAAATTTTGCCATGTTTTCTTTAGGTCTGTTATCTATACACAAATACATCAACATGGAGAGAGAGAGAGAGAGAGAGAGAGAGAGAGAGAGAGAGAGAGAGCGCTTAAATACAAAGTTGGGCCCTGACCAGCATGGCTCAGTGGTTAGAGTGTAGGCCTAAGCATTGTGGGTCACATGTTCCATTCCTTATTAAGGGCACTCCAGGGCTCATACCTGGGCTGCAGGTCTGATCTCCACCCTGCTGGGGCACATGTGGGAGATGGCCAATCAATATAGCTCTGTCACGTTGCTATTTCCCTCTCCCCCTTTTCCCTCACTCTCTCATCTTCCCTCCTCTCTTCCATTCTCTAAAATCAATGGGAAAATATCCTCATTTCTTGGGTAAGAATTTAAAAAAATACAAAGTTGGGATCAGACTATATAGAGTTAGATTCTATGGTTTTCACTTAATATAAATTGTGAGCAAAATATTTCTTTCATAATATGGTATAATGTATTGGATCCTATTTGTTATCAATATCCATGCAAATCTTAGATTAATGTTTCATTTCCTCACATTTATGTTCAATTCAAAAGAGAAAACAACACACACTTATTCTGTAGTACAGCATAATTACCCTTTTCCTGCAAGAGCTTCACAAATTGGACTCTTGTAATTCTCAGCCACAGTCGCACAAGAGGTACACAGAGTTTTGAATATGCTACCTGAAAAACATAAGCCAAGCAAGACCAGAAATAATATCATCAAGAGCAACTGTCTCCATGTCCAAAAGGATACAAAATTACTTAGTTTTTATATGTTCATTTTAGCAAATGGGCCTACCCTAGGCATTATGGGAAATGTAAAGGCATGTAGTACTATTGAACAAGCCAGGAGCATCTGCCCTCCTGGACTCTGTACTCTAGAGGGAAGAGAGACAGATGAAATAATCATTCATGACTAAGGCACTCTCTCATTTCTCGGAGTGATGCTCAGGTAGACCTGAACTGATTAATAGGGTAGGTGAAGCCAACCAACTAAGGGCATGATTTACTATGAACATGATGGATAAAGGTTCAGTAGCTTGGGATGTGTTTACAAATCTTAATTTTAAATTAATAAAGCTTGAATATTTTATCCAAAACCAGATCAATAATTAATCAACTAATAAATGAAGAGAATAACTGCTAGAACTAGCAACTATTTATTGAGCTCACCCAGTAATAGTGACCACATATTGTCATGTGCCCAGTGCTGTGCTGAGCATGTCACACACACTGTGGTAGAAACATATTGTTCCATTGTCCAGTGTCACTTTGTTGAGGGCCCATCTCTCCTCTATCCCATGCCACGCTGATGAAATTGACAATCATCCCAAAATACAAGCTTGGATACACGTTTTAGACTGGTCCAATCCCAGTACCCCACTTCTCTAGCAATAGTGTTTGGTTAAAAAGCAGGTAAGTGACCCAAGCAAGGCTCTCCGAGGTTTATTTTCTGAGGAGAGAGCTAAGCAAGAGTGAGCCTGGAGCTGCCAGACCTCACCTTTGCTGGCACATGTAGGCAAAAACTACAGAGAGATAAAGTAACTCAGAGTGAGCAAAGCTGAGGGGCAGGGAGAGAAAGACAGTGAGCCTGCTGCTGACGTCAGCTTCTCCCAGGGCTCCTCAGTGTTGCCAGCCAATGCACCTATTTTGTCAGTTTTAGCATGGCTACTTTCCCACAAACATCTCTGAAGTTCGGACGCATCCTGCAACTGCCCCTGGCCACATGACGGATGTGCTGTGGTTGCCACTTGTTGAAGGATTACACCATGACTGACATGAGTCCTGACTGGACAAAGGCAGCCTCTGCCTATTTTAGCCAACAAACCACTTAAGGTCCATTTGGGGAAGAAAAATGAGTCCTGGTTGTTATCTAGAACCCTTCCACTGACACCTTTTGGTAAGATTGAGAAAGGCCCAACGTCAAACCTGCAGAATGTGAGTCAGTGTTTGGGAAGGAAACCCAGAGACAGGAGAGGCTCCCCTTTGAGGAAATGCTGCATCGCCAATCCCACGCATGGAGCACAGTCACCGGCACCTCCGAGACCTTCAAAACCATTCAGAAGAAATATCTGGCCACTCTATCTTACCCATGTTTTGTTTTCTATATGCATGAGAGTTTCTAAAAATGTGTAAGTAAGTTTTAACAAGCCCTTTCTATATGTATAAAATAGAGAATTCTAAGGGGTAATAAAATATCATGGTTTGTGCAGATTATTTCCTTTCTAAGTATCACATTAAAAACATGCTGCATTTTCAATTTGATGAAAAAAGGGCTTCCTTTTGTTTTTACCTGAATTTGAAGCGAGTTATCATCACTTGCAACCAAAAATGTCCCAACTAGTATGTATATATTATCTTATTTAATGCTTAAAATAACGGGATTTCGATTTTATATGTTCTGCATGGCAAGCGCCAGCCTACAATCTGACACTGCACAGAAACAAGAAGAGCCGTGTGGAAAGTATCCCAGATCCAACCAAAGAAGGTGCCAAAGACGTTCGGTGAGTAGGTGGCTGACACTGTTAGGACACAAAAGAGGGATGGGACCCAAGTGAACAATGCTCACCTCTCATTATCAGGGTGACCATAAGCTTAGGAAAAAAATGGGCAATCTCACGGTGTACACACACCGGCACCATCCCCATTGGCTAACTGTTCCTGGAAATGCCACTATTAGAAATGCATCCCTTGGAATTAAAGTTTTGTAGACTCTTAAACGCAAATGTCCTCGGGGGGAAAAATCCTGGCTTGCCCACTGATGCTCTTGTATGAATGGGTTCATTAGATTTTTTTGGTGAGAGCACAGAGGGGAAAGGAGTAAGAAGACAAGAGGGGAAAGGAGGCTGTCATCAGGGAAGAGAAGGAAAGCCAGAGGGACCTAAGGGTAAAACCTGTGTGTGACAACTTGGTGGGCTTAGTTCAGTGCAGGTGGCTGAGCGGTAGCTCCCTAAAGGCTGGAGGGCTCTGCAGAAGCACAGCCTCAGGAGACAGAACCAACTGGGACAAAGAGAAAGTAAATAGATACCCCAGGCATGCCAAGGTCCCCCATCTCAGATCCTGCTAAAGCCACCTGTTCAATGGCCCACCCCTCCTGGTTCCCTCCAGCCCAGCTGGGCAGTTGTCTCTAACGCAACCCCCTCAAGAGCTGCTCAGCGAGGGGCGTGCACACAGCTGTGCAGACCAGCGCTTTCACGGTGTAACAGGCGCACACCACACACCTGGGTGTGTTGTCAGCATGCGGATTCTGTTTTAGTGAGTCCAGGTGGGAACTGGCAGGTCAGGCTTTCAAGTCTAGTTCCCTTCCCTGTGTGAGGCTGGGGGTTCTCACCATGGATTTCCAGAAGGTTCTTGGTACCAGCCCTGCGGTGCAGCTCATCGATGTTTTGGGTGATGACCATGACCCGGCGGCCCTGCTCACGCAGCCGGGCCTCACACTCGGCGATGGCGAGGTGCCCGGGGTTTGGCTCCACGCGCTGTATGACTTCCCGCCGGTAGTGGTAGAACTCCCACACCAGGGACGGGTGTTTGGCAAAGGCCTCCGGAGTGGCCAGGGCCTGGGGTGAGAGGAGGCAGGAGTCAGGGAGGGAAGAGCGCTCATGCTCCTTCCAGAGCCCAGGCAGCGGGGCGCGGACGGAACCTCGGAGTGCCAAGGGCAGTGCGGGCACACACTGCAGGTCCCCCTTTCTCTACAATGGGCAGGCAGCTTCGGGAGGGTGCAAACTGGCACACGGCTGCTTAGGTTCATGCAGTGTGGCAGACACAGGGCAAGGCCTGAGCACCAGCCTGTGTCCCAATCCTGGGACTAACACGGGACCTTGGAGAAATTGGCTTTAATTTCCCCAATTATAGTTCAGAGAAAATACAACTTGTCCCATTTGACACTCAAGGAAGTTATGAACATGAAGTAAGTAATATGCAAGAAGATAATTTAGGTTGGAGATCCAAAATGTATGGAGTCAATATCATTTGTCCAGGAAAAAAAGTGAAATGTAAAATGTCCAATTGAGGTATAATGGCCATAGTTGAGAAACTCAGTTTTTATCACTTACAGTTACACACTCACCATACACATTACATTAACAATACATATAAAATATGTATTTTAAGGTGCAATGCCTCTTCTAGGACAAACAAATCTCATGTATAGTGAACAGTCAACAGAGAAGTAGTTGTCTAGGGCTGGAAGCTGACAGGAAATATACGAGGGAACCTTGGCAATGACCAAAGTATTCTGTAGCTCAGTGGTGGCAGTGGTGGTATCATGCATTTTATTTTACTGTAAAGGTCCCTATCTGCCTTTACAGCCATGTCAGCCTTCATTTGGGGAGTGGATCTTCTACGCTGTGGATTATCCATTTCAACCCTGTACTTCCTTCCTTCCTGCCTTCTACTTACAGCACAAGTGGCCTGGCTATACAGGGGTGGGCAAAAGTGGATTTATAGTAATTAATTAACAAAACAAGAATAAACTGTGCTTTGTTATCTCACAACTGTAAGCCTACTTCTGTGCCCCACCCTGTATGTGTCCTGGGAACACAGCTGGAGTCAAACGTAATCTACTGCTTTTCCACAAACGCAGCTTCTCTGACCTGACTGACCACCCTCTGTAAGTTCCTCCTGACGCCACCTGAGCCCCATCCCTTGATTCTCTAAATCAGGGGATGCTCTTCGTGGCTCCTCTTCTTATGGGACCTCAATGGCCCTGGCTCTTCCCTCTCCCCTCCTTCACCTTTAAGGGGATGCTGTCATGTCTACATCCCCAGGCTTTGCCTGGAGGGCAGTGGAGAGGTGACAGAACATCCTAAACCAAGCATGTCAAACTCAAAGGCTAACTTTGGTCAAGTAAACAGGTTTAAGATTATGTGGGCCACAAAAAAAACCAAGTTTTAATTTTCATAGAAACATATTGCAATAGGTTTATTTCAATAGAGACATGCTGAATACCAAAGGCTGAAATAAATGAGTGATTGTTAACATAAAATAACAGAACTTTTTGTTGTTTACTGTTTGTTTTTTTAATTATTATCTGTGTACATATTTTAAAATAACAGAACATTTAAATAAAAATTAATGTTTTTCTTGAACATTAACTTAACAGACACTGAATAACTGCATAAATTAATAAGCATAATGTAAATAAACCTATTTTTCTTGTTCTCTGAAAGTGAAATATTTCCTGTTGTGCACACCAAGCAAGTCAGTACCAGATTAATGACGTGGCAATCAACTGCTAAAATATTCGCTATTAGTATTAGTGAAGAGAAATGGTACACCTGAAGGTGCGTAAATTGCGTAAGGGAAATGAATGCAACACAATTATAGTAATCTGTCATTAGCAAATGTTGTTCGTTATTAATAATTATATATAACAGGATATTATAAAAATTAAGTTATGAAATTTTTATTACAATGTTCTTACAGCCCTGACTGGTATGGCTCAGTGGTTAGAGTGTTAGCCTGCAGACTGAAGGGTCCCAGGTTCGATTCCAGTCAAGGGCATGTACCGTGGTTGTGGGCACATCCCCGGTGGAGGGTGTGCAGGAGACAGCTGATTGATATTTCTCTCTCATCTATTTTCTTTCTTTTATTTTTTTAAAATATATTTTATTGACTTTTTACAGAGAGAAAGAGAGAGAGATAGAGAGCTAGAATCATTGATGAGAGAGAATCATTGATCAGCTGCCTCTTGCACACCCCCTACTGGGGAATGTAACTGCAACCAAGGTACATGCCCTTGACCGGAATTGAACCCGGGAACCTTAAGTCCACAGGCCGACGCTCTACCCACTGACCCAAACTGTTTTCGGCTCATCTATGTTTCTAATTCTCTATCCCTCTCCCTTCCTCTCTGTAAAAAAAAAAAAAAAAAAAAAAAAAAAAAAAAAAAAAAAAAAAAAAAAAAAAAAAATCAGTAAGATATATATTTAAAAAAAATAATAAAACGTTTCTTATATACCATTATATTGGCTGGGCCACAAAAATACTATTCGTTGTGGGCTGCACGCAGCCCATGGGCCTCGAGTTTAACATGCTTGCCCTAAACATTTGCCATCCTGAAACCTTTCTTTCAGGAAAGAAGGGCAGGTTCATTAACCCTTCACTCAATAAGAAATCACTTGCTAAATCTGAAAGTCATGTATTGAAGTGATTATTTATGACTGCCTTCATTCAACCAACAAACATCTATTAAGCACCTACATTGTTCCAGAGTTCTCAGAGCTGGGGAAGGAGCATGAATGAAACAGACAAAATTCCCTCTCCTCCAAAATTAGGGATTGCCTGGGGGAGGGAAGGAGACTGACTGCAAAGAGCCTTGAGGGAATAACCCGGGGCACAAAAATGCTACACTCTGTATACATTTGTTAGAAGTTATTGAATTGTATACTTAAAATTGGTGAATTTTATTGTATGGCTAATATACCTCAATAAAATTAAAAAAAAAATCTACACCTCCAAAGAACTTAATTTCTAATGGCCTTCATATAAAGTTTGAACATTAAGCTCTAGGCCTTCAAGAATTCAACTTCAGTGTTAATATGAAAAGTTCACAGAAACTTTAAAAATGTGTAATACTTAATTTCACTATCTATAGTAATGAATTATGCTAATCAAGGTTTTCTGATTCTACTTTTTTATATGAAAAAATGCAAATTATACATACCTAAAAAATTAGGGAATGGCTGCCTTCCTTAAATCTCAGATCTTAATCATATGAACACTGTGTCGATGCCAAAATGAACAGGAAAAGAGTCACTGCCAATTTCAAAACTTTGTTCTCTGGGTTTCAGCCATCATTAGGTTCCAAGTCAAACTCTGTTATGGCTTCATTTAGAACAGCCTCTTAATATTCTAGAAACACTACTAACCTGAGATTGCCACTTCCTCCAATAACCTCCGGATCCTCTGAAAGTTGGAATCCCACTTTCAGCACTAATGCCAGCCCCTGAAATGATGACTATGTGGTTTGCTTTTGCAAAAAGTTTCCGAAAATCGGCCATATCTAAAGAGAGAATAAAATCTTTATCAATCCAGTACACCATTTGGATATTTATATCCCATACCAATCATCTACCTAGGTTTCCCCTGCTCGCCGAAAGTAGAGTTTTTTTTTTTAAATTATTATTAATATATATTTTATTGATTTTTTACAGAGAGGAAGGGAGAGAGATAGAGAGCTAGAAACGTCGATGAGAGAGAAACATCGACCAGCTGCCTCCTGCACACCCTCCACCAGGGATGTGCCCGCAGCCAATGTACATGCCCCCTGACCGGAATCGAACCCGGGACCCTTCAGTCCGCAGACTGACGCTCTCCCACTGAGCCAAACCGGTTTCGGCAAAGTAGAGTGTTTCTTATGAAAACTTCCATAAAACAGAAAAGCAACTACCTATGGGTAAGTTTTGCTAATGAATGCACAAAATAAATGAAGATAAAGCACAGATGCTCGAAGACACAGTTCAAAGCTCCAGTGCTTGATGCTGAAAGTAGCTTCCAGAGAAGGAGCTTGGGGGCACTCTCGCTGCTGGGGTTTGCCCTGTCTCTGTAACCTGCTGCAAGACTAATGCTGAATGCTATTTTTGTTTTCAACCTTTTTTCAATGCAAAATCCTCTTCAGTTTTCTCTTGGTTAGTGAGAACAGATACTAATTTAGGTTTTTGTAATAGTGCAGTGGTGTAGAGCAGAGGTTGCCAACCTTTCAGACCTCACCGGCCACCAGTGGTCCGCGGACTACCGGTTAGTGACCACTGGTAGAGCAAACTTTGGAAAAGCAGGAGATGTCTATATTTTGAAACTTGACCTTGTGTGATATTATACTTTAAGATACTCATATAAAAATCATTCCTGTATCATGAAAATGCTATCCATGCCCTTGATGTGTGAATGTATAATATCTTAAGAAAGAAGCAGGGCCTTCAGGCACACAGCACTGATTCTGAATCTCAGCTCCACCTACACCCATGTGTGAGATCCTTTGTGAATCACTGACCTTCTGCTATGCTGGTCTCCTTGGCAATTTATTTTATTTATTTATTTTTTTAATATATTTTATTGATTTTTTACAGAGAGGAAGAGAGAGGGACAGAAAGCTAGAAACATCGATGAGAGAGAATCATCGACCAGCTGCCTCTTGCACACCCCCTACTGGGGATGTGTCCGCAACCAAGGCACATGCCCTTGACTGGAATTGAACTCGGGACCTTTCAGTCCGCAGGCCGACGCTCTATCCACTGAGCCAAACCGGTCGTGGCTCCTTGGCAATTTAATGTGTACAATACTGTCCTCCCCAGAACAGGGCTGCTATGAAGATTAATGGATAGGAATGCAACTTCCTTCAGGAAAGTAAAGACAAGTTGTGTGTGTGTGTGTGTGTGTGTGTGTGTGTGTGTGTGTGTGTGTGTGCAGGCCCATCGAACCCCAAAGCCTTCCCTTCCACCCCAAGTTTTCTTCCCTTTGTGGATCTTGCTAATTCTACCTTCTTTCAGCATCACTACCAAAGGTCAGGATGAGGGCCCCTACCCTGTGAACAAATGCTGTACCCTAAGCCTAAATACATGACTTTCTCCTTTAATGCTCAAATAAGAGCTAGACTTTTCAACAAGATGTCATCAGAGACTTGGGGTAACAAAAGGGAATTGAACATAGAGAATAGCATGGAAGCAGGTAATCATAGTCACAGACCATGGCTTGCCCTCCAGATCAAAGGCCTTGCTCTGCACCTCCAGGCATTCTACCCTGATCTCAGACCATCACAAGCAGTAGCCATTACTGAGTGAGGGCTCACTGCCCCCCAGGCTGTGCCAAGCATTTACATGGGTCACAAGAGGTGTTTGCCCCTGAAGAGAATGTCCTCATCCCATGACAAGAACAAGGAGCCAGACTTGACAGTGCCACTGTGTTTCTTAGGTAGCAGAGATTAGGATAGGACTCAGAATATGGCTGAGAGCAACACGCTTCTCTCCCAGACACTGTGGCTCTGCAGGCCCTCATGCAAGGGGTAAGGGTTAGGCCCTTATGCGAGGGGTAATGTAAGCCTACAGAGCTGAGCACAAACTTCAGGGAGAAGTGAGACTCCCTCTCTGCCCTCTACCTAGAAAAGCAAGTGCCAGACCAGCATTGCCTGGGGCTGGCCTGGGCCACAAAGCAGACATTTAGGCGTGGCCAGCCTGTGCTAACAGAAAAGTTCAGCAAAAACGGAAGTGAGTTCCACAGCTGATGGAGTGAACTTTCTGGTCTTCCAATGGCAACCAAGGCTAACCCTTAGCTGACTGAGCACACACTAAGAGATGGGTCTGGTTTCAAAAACAGAAAAGCAGAGGCTGCAGCTCCTTCCAGCCACATTCCTGGAGCTCTCTGGGATCACTTTCCCAAAGCAAGGCTCAAAGGAATGAAGATTCAGGCACACTGTTGCCTTTCGGTATAACCAGCCCAACTACCTGCCAGCCATGTTAACACTTTGCCTACCCTCACATCCCTTTCAGAAATGGACTGATGTGAAAAATATGGCCTGCTAAAGCTGTCCAACCAAGAATATGTCTGAAAAAAATATCTAATCTGAGTGGATCAGAGTTTGTAGTCTGATCTGTCCCCTGAGAGAACAATTTGCTAACTACATCTTGGAACTATTTATATAACTCCTGGGTTGAACCATACAAACATATTTAAGGACTTTAAAGTTCACCCATAAAACTTTCCCCTGCTCTGAATGCCTTTCTACCTCAAATGTAAAGTCTGTCATCCTTCTGTTGAATAAATTTCCAAGTCAGAGTGACTTCTACTAAGGTACCACTTTAAGTAATTTCTAGAAACAGATAAAAAAGTCAACCTTTTTCATTTGGTTTTTGGAAAACAAAATGTAAGCTATAACAATATTAAAGCTGTGTGAAATCTTATTATAGACAACATTTCCTAATTGCTAAAGGAAAACACACTAGCATGTTTTGTAGTTTCAGTCACAGGTGGCCCACTTTTTGTCAAGCACATGCTTCTGGCTCCCACCACAGCCTCGAGCAGCCTGTCCTGCATAGCTGGAATACCAAAGGGTTCGACAGCTAAGTGGAACTGGGTTATTTGGGCTCTTTATTGTTCCTGGGAAAAATGTAATGAGGTATTATTACAATTCAGCAGACTTGCAGTATTAGAAAAAGTTATCCAAAAGTAGAAAATGAGGCAAAAAGAGTTCAATTTGGCCTTTCAATGCCACATTGAAGAACTGTTTAACAGGCCCACCAAGGTATCATTTATTATATAAATCTGTTAAACTCTATACCCACTACAGAAGAAGGGCCCAGATATGTTAACTTGTAGGTTTTTGTCAGGTAGAGATTTATAGAGGAAATCTTATGCTAATCAACAAAATAACCTTCCTGATTAAATAACATATAATTTCCCCCAAATCAGGGAAGAGGATGTATGCCTTAAAACAAAGGCCAGGTTTGTCATGCTTGCCATAAATTGCTAACAGCATTTTGAGCATATTACAGGAACTAGCTTCAAGGAAGGACATTCCGGCTCTAGGAGACTTGCTTACTCTTGACCATAAAAATGACCTCCACTTATCAGCTTTAAGATAATCATTGGGAATGGACTGTACTTACTTAGATATGAAGAACTTTCAACCCCACCTATCCCTCATTTCTTTTGTTCTGCTTTCCCTCTCCCTCCTAATAAAGACCTTTGCCTGCACTGAGACGTTAAAATGATCTTTGCGATGAGAGTCTCCCATCTTCTCAGGGGGCCAACACTTGAATAAACCTCTTTCCTTCTCACCAGCACCTGTCTTACAAGTTTGGTTTTTGTTGCTGCTGGCAGCCAAACCTGTGTTTGGTTAGAAATACAAATCATTTCTGTCCAGTAAAAAATGTAATCTGATATTACCCTGTAGGACAATCTCAGCTTATCTCCACTGCAGAGAGACGAAGGGTTTAAAATACAAATCATGTGTGAAAGGCTTAAGTGCAAATATTTTATGAGAAGCAACAAAGTCTTAAATGGACTTACCTTAACTGTTAAGAGATCATCTCTGACCTGTCTTGGAAGGGGCTTGACTAAGGAGAAAAGGACAGAATGGCCTCATCCAAAATCTTGCCCAGCACCCACTTCAATATAAACATTCCCTTCAAAGTGTAGGAACTTTCAGATACTTCAAATTCCATTAGAGAGGAGGAGATGGCAAGCTAAGAAAGACCTACTTGAACTTGGACGAGCCATGGTTAGGCAAATTTTGGTTCCTGTGGCAACTGGAGACTTCAATCCACAATACAGTTGGGAAAATAATCGGCTGGTGACAATCTGGAAAAGTCCCATCAGGTTTTCTTTATAGTATTAATTCTTGAGATGGACTTTAGAAAAATCACAAAAACAAATAGAAACAATCAGAAAATACTTGTATTTCATGAATATACATTATATATATGCATATGTTATATATAAAGGCCTTTACAATAATTTTTAATGTCAGATCTTTGTGGTATTCAGCTGTTTTCAATTGATTCTCAAGAGCACCTATATGCCCTGTAGTAGTGGTTCTCATGTGTGGTTCCCCAGAACCACCTGATATTTTATTAGAAATGCAAAGTCTTGAGCTCCACCCCAGGCTCATGAATTAGATGCTTTGAGGATGGGGGCCCACATTTGTGTCCAAGTAATTCTGATGCTCAAATTTGAGAACTTGTTTTAGGAGCTTGAAAAGGGATTAGATGTGAGAATTCATTTGAAACACAGGTTCAGCTCCTTTTAAAAAGGTGTGAAAACCAGGAGAATCCAAGATGGCTGCCCAGGTAAACACCTAGCCACAGACGGACACAACAATTTCAATAAAATACAACTAAAATATAAATGGACATTACCCAGAACTATAGGAAAGTCGAATGACTGGAAATTCTACAACGAGAAGCAAGGAGAAAACCAGAAGGAAGCGCGGAGGAGCTGTAAAAGCCCAAGGTACGGAGACACGCCGCGAGCGCACGGAGAGGACGGAGCCGGAGAGGAGGGAGTCTGAGTGCCTGGCTGGCGTTCCCTAGCAGGAAGGAGATAAAAGCTCCGACTGTGCTGGGCCCCAGTTCTGACTGCTCTGAACTCCAGTTCTAGGCCAGACCCCGGGGACCCAGGCTCAAACAGAGGGAGCTGGGCTGTAAGGCGGAACCCCGGCAAAAGGAGGTGCCGGAGGCGCGCACATTGCGCGCAGAGAAGGGACAGTTGGCTGTGCCATGGGATTGCCCTGGCAGGAAGGAGACAGGGGCTCCAGACTACTCTGAATGCCACCTCCAATCCCACTACCAACTGAACTGAATCCAGTTCTGGGCTCATTGGGGGAGAGCCTAGACTGTTTGGTAGCAGGCAAAAATCGAGGGCACTTTTCTCTCAGAGGCGCTTGCAACGAGTACCGAAGGACACTGAGACCCAGGAGCCGCATAGGGCGGGGCTGATGGAAGCCATGGCTGTAGGCTCCACCCTGAAACCCCGTCCCATCTGTAGCTGTGAAATGCGACAACAAAATAGATCACAAACGAAAGAAATGGAGGACAAAAAGCGACTGGATATAGAGTTCAAATCTACGCTTATAAGGTTTTTCAAGAATTTCCTAGAAACGATCGATAAGACCTATGAGGATATGAAAAGAGATCAACTAGAATTAATAAGGAATCAACAATAAATGATAAGGGATCAACAAGAAATAAAGAATACATTGTCTGAAATAAAAAATATTATACAGAGTCCTAAAAACAGAATGGAAGTTCGCAAGAATCAAGTCAAAGATTTGGAACATAAAGAGCCAGAAGAGACTCCTCCACAGTAGCTAGAAGGCAAGAGAATCCAGAAAATTGAAGATAATGTAAGAAACCTCTGGGACAACTTCAAACGAACCAACATCAGAATTATGGGGGTCCCAGAAGATGAGAGAGAGCAAAATATCAAAAACATAATGAAAGAAATAGTGACAGAAAACTTCCCCCACCTGGTGAAAGAATTAGACTTACAAGTCCAGGAAGCGCACAGAACTCCAAACAAAAGGAATCCAAAGAGGACCACACCAAGACACATCATAATTAAAATTCCAAGAGCAAAAGACAAAGAGAGAATATTAAAAGCAGCAAGAGCAAAGAAGGTAGTTACCTATAAAGGAGCACCTATACGATTGTCAGCTGATTTCTCAATAGAAACCATGCAGGCCAGACGGGAATGGCAAGAAATATTCAAGGTGATGAATAGTAAGAACCTACAGCCAAAGATAATCTATCCAGCAAAGCTATCACTCAGAATCGAAGGTCAAATAAAGAGCTTCAGTAATAAAAAAAAAAAAGTTAAAGGAGTTCATCACCACCAAACCAGAATTATATGAATTGCTGAAGGGAGTTCTTTTGGAAGAGAAAGTAAATAAAAATAAAAATTATGAACAACAAATACATAACTATCAACAAGTGAATCTAAAAACCAAGGAAACTAAAAAAAAAAATCTGATGAACAATATTAACTGTTGAATATAATAGAATCAGAGGTATGGAAGGGAAGTGAACTGACAATTCTCAGGGAAAAGGGGAGAGGGGGATGTGGGAAGAGACTGAACATAAACTGTGCACCTATAGATGAGGACAATGGGGGGAGGGGAAAGGGCAGAGGGTGGGGTGGGAACCTGGTGGAGGAGAGCAATGGAGGGGGGGGAGAGGAACATTTGTAATAATATGAACAATAAAAATTTATTTTAAAAAAAGGTGTGAAAACCATTGACCTCTCATTTTGTTTAAAATACTGTTCTATAAGAATGTAAATTCTGAGAACTGAAGCAGAAAAAATATTTTTATGACAATAAACAGGATAAAAGTAACATCAGGTCAAAACACTTGTATCTTAAAGCACACTTAGTAAATATCTATTACTGAGAAATTTTATAAAAGAAAAGGAGACACAAAGAAAGACAATATTTGGATCAATAATTAAAATGGTACTGGCAGAGCTGACTGCTATCTTACTGGATAAAACTGTTGGAAGAACTCAGGATTAAAAGAAAAATAGAAAAATAACATTTTCTAAAACTTTACAATCCCTTTGGAAAACAACCTATCAAAATTAAAAATGCAGTTTCCCTTTGATCTAGTAATTCTAAGTCTGGACATTTTTACAACAGTCAGACTCACATACATCCAAAATGACATATCTACAGGGTTGTTCTTTAGACCATTGTGATTGACAGCAAGAGACCAGAAATAACCTAAATGTCCATCTGCAAAGGATGACATAAGGGCACATTCATAATGTACAACATGGTTACTATATAAAAGAATGTATGTATGATTCTACTTACATGACATTCTAGACTAGACAAAACCTTGGAGATAGAAAACATATCCATAGTTGCCCTAGCAGGGAAGACTGAATATATCGATACAAAGGGCCATGAGGGTTTTATAAGACAATGGAATTGTTATATATCTTGTTTATGGTGGTAGTTACAGGATTGTGCCTGTCAAAGCCCATAAAACTCAACACTAAAAAAAGGTTAATTTTACTGTCTGTAAACTATAAAAGTTTTAAAATTGCTAATGAATATAGGATTTCAGTTTTGCAAGAGTTCTGGAGATGGGTTATAAGTGAATGTACTTAACACTATTGAACTGTACCCATAAAAATGATTAAAGTGGCAAACTTTGTGTATTTCACTTAAATTTTTTAAAACACAAGTGAACAAAGTCTAATTAAATGTGATTTTTTTGAGGAGAAACCAAGATGGTGACAAAGATAAACACCTGAACTGCCGCCTCACACAACAATTTCAAAACTACAACTAAAAGACAAAACGTCTATCACCCAGAACCACAGGAAAGCTGGCTGAATGGAAGTTCTACAACTAGAAGGAAAGAGAAAAGAGCATAAACACTGAAAAGCTGAGATACAGAGGCACTCGAATTGGGCTGGTGGCAGGCAACTGGGCGTGCAATCGGAAGGGAGACAAACTCCTGATCACTCTGAAATCCAGTTTCTGGGGAGACACTGGGTCTTCCCTATGGGAAGAAGCTGGACTGTTGGCCATTGGGTCGGAAAGTGAGGGTGACTTTTTGCTGAGGTTTACCCAGCAATCATTGTTTATTGTGCTAGAGCGAGGGACGCAGGGACTTGGAAACACGGAAAGGCAGAGAAGGCAGACTAGTAGCCATTGTTGTTTGCCACACCCTAGCCTAGTGATGCCCTGAGACCCGGCCCCACATAATTTACAAAAACACCCAAGCTCCCAGCAGGGGCTTTTACACATAAATGGCCTGACCTATTGCACTTAACCAAATAAACTGCAGCTCCAGTCAGACAGCTCCAAAACCTCCAACTCCAAACAAAGAGGAGAAAACTGTAGTTCTTTGAGGGTGGCCTCAGAGAGTAGCTGACCTGCACCCCATTGGAGATCCAGAAGCTAGTGTAACTAGTGTTTTGTGTGAGACGACACCAGCTTTCAACTACTCTCATAAGGGACACATTCAAGAGGCAGACTCAGTGAGCACCAAAGCCCCACTGGAACAAGTCCTGCCCCATAAACGTGTCTTCAGCACAGCAATTCTTCCATTATATACACAACGGGTCCTCACAGCCAGTTGGCCTGGAGGTCAACTCTTCCCAGTGACACCAACAACAATTAAGACTTAACTACAACATGGCTGTACACACAGTCCACAAAGGGGTGCACCAAGAGTGACCACCTTAGGTAACTGGGAGGCTGACTCATTGAACCATATAGCACACAAAGTCATCCTAACCAACAAAGCGAAGCAGTGGAAATTAGGAGACAAGGAAACAGATCACAAATGAAAGAAATGGAGGAGAACAAATGACTAGATATAGAGTTCAAAACCATGGTTATAAGGTTTTTCAAGAATTTCCTAGAAAAGGCTTTTAAATTTAATGAGACCCTTGAGGATATGAAAAAGGAACAACTATAAATTAGACATACACTGACTGAAATAAAAAATATTATAGAGACCCAATAGCCAACTAGAGGAATGCAAGAATCAAGTTTACATGAAGTGCTGAAGGGTATTCTTTAAGAAGAAGAAAAAGGTAAAAATTATGAACAACAAAAAGACATCAAATACATACCTACCAACAAGTGAATCTAAAAATCAAGTGAATAAAAAAATCTGATGAACAGATGGACTGATGAATAGAATCAGGGACATAGAAAGAGAGTGGACTGACAATTCTCAGTGGGAAGAGATTGGACAAAAATCTTACACCTATGGATAAAGACAGTGGTGGGGGAGGGGGTAAGGGCATCGGGTGGGGTGGGGAATCAGGAAGAGGGGAGCTATGGGGGTAAAAAAAGAGAAACACCTGTAATAATCTGAACAATAAAGATTTATTTAAAATTTAAAAAAATTCACTACAGGTGTGGATGTTCTTACACGGACAGAGGCAGCAATATCAAGCAGTTGACTATGCTGTTATAAGTATAACTCTTCTACATGAGGATCTAAGGATGGGTCATCTGCTAAATAGCTGTGGAATGAAGACAAGTCTTCATTCTGCTGTGAACATGAGTTTGAATTTGTTGAGTTGTCAAACAGAGATTATTAAGGAATTATTAATTGTAGGGTTGACAACATTAGGACATGTATTATATGGGTAAAATGTTACTATTTTTCATCTAAGTTTCTTTACTCAAATGTTTTTATTAAGTAATAATAATTACTTTCACCATAGCACTCAACTCAAAATAAAAAAATAGAAATAAGATTTACTTGCTCATGTTTTAATATTTCCAAAAAATCACTAGCTTCTAGATCCTGTGCTTAGGCAATACAATCAGCAAATATTTTGTAAAGGTAACTTTAATTCTCATGTTAATTGTTTAATGACATATACGGTATGTGTTACACACACACATACATATACACACACTCGAGAACTGTAAATTTTAGTTTCCCAGGTTATAAAATCCATTCTAATACCAGTTTTATTAGTCAACATTTTACATGTTGGTTTTGTTTTGTTTTTTAAATAAATGTGGGAATTGTTTTGCCAAATTTCCTGGTAATTTACAAGATGGTCTACAAATCTCTCAGTAAATGTGAAAGCAAAGTAGAGAATGAAAATAAAATGTTCACATCTTTTCTGGTCAGTGCCACCAGAAATTTTATTTTTATTTTTATTTTATTTTATTTTAAATATATTTTATTGATTTTTTGCAGAGAGAGAGAGAAGGATAGAGAGTAAGAAACATCGATGAGAGAGAATCATCGATCAGCTGCCTCTTGCACACCCCCTGCTGGGGATGTGCCCACAACCAAGGTACATACCCTTGCCCGGAATCGAACCCAGGACCTTTCAGTCCGCAGGCCGACGCTCTATCCACTGAGCCAAACCGGTCCCGGCTTATTTTTTTATTTTTATATTTTATTGATTTTTCCCAGAGAGGAAGGGAGAAGGAGAGTTAGAAACATCGATGAGAGACATCGACCAGCTGCCTCTTGCACACCCCCTACTGGAGATGTGCCCGCAACCAAGGTACATGCCCTTGACCAGAATCGAACCTGGGACCTTTCAGTCCGCAGGCCGACACTCTACCCACTGGGCCAAATCGGTTTCAGCAGTGACACCAGAAATTTATTTCCAAGATTTGAAATGCTCAGATCACAAGGCTATTTTAAAGATGCTACCACAAAGTATTTATTGTCTGTGTGCCAACATATATCTATCTGCTTTCCTGGGGGGAGTCGGGTGGACAGAGGTTCTACCTTCCGCATGCTCACAGCCCAAAGCAAGTCTCCAGAAGAAAAGGGAAAGACCACAGGGCAATGGAGAAACTCAGGTTAGCCCCTTCAAACACCCTCAGGGTGAAAACTGCCCTGGGTGAAACTACCAATTATTCTGCCTGGATTATACCTTCAGGGGGAGAAGCAAGCCTCAGGGGAGGCAATAAACTCATTCATCAAATCAGCTTTCTGGAGGCTGTACAGGCTCCCAAACACTGGCATTAGTCTAGTGGCAGTCCCCAGTGTAACCAGGCTTTCTTGTGAAACCTGAAACTCAACTATGAAATTAGAAAAAAAAGAAAACTGCATGTTTCCTGTGGAAAAAAAGGGGCAATCTACTAATTCTGAAAAATATTTAAAAATGAAAGGTTATATCAGGAATGCACGAGAAAAATTCACACAAAAAAATAAAGTACATGGTAAGTATATTGCAAAGGAACTCCAAAAACTGACAGAGGCATTCAATAAATACTTTTTGGACGCTCACTCACCAGCTAAAGTTACGCAATGCACCAGTCCTAGGCTATCAACACTGGCGGACTCCTCCCCCTCCCTTCTCCACCACATGCTCCCGTCAAGGTCACCGGCGACCTCCACCAGGTCAACCCTTGATTAAGTCGGAGGACCCATTGGCTCACCTCTCCTCCGGCTTCTCCTGGCTTCCAGGGGACACCCTCGCCTGGTTCCACCTAACTCTCTGATGCCCCTCCTCCCCGGCCTCCAGCAGACCGCTCCCACCCAGAGGCCCAAACTCCCAACTGTCCAAGACCTTCACCCCGCAAAGCCTGGAGCAGGCGTCCTCAAACTTTTTAAAGTGGGGGCCAGATCCCGGTCCCTCAGAGAGCTGGAGGGCTGGACTATATGAACTACTAATTCCTACTGTAACACCTCGGCTGCGCTCACTGCCCAAAAAACCTGGCGGGCCAGATCAGACTCCTCTGCGGGCCGCATGTGGCCCGCGGGCCGTAGTTTGAAGACCCCTGGTGGAGCATCGCCCCGGCTGCTCCCTCTCTCACACCTCACACCTGCGGCCAGGCAGGTCACTGTCCTGACAGCTGCTCCTTAAACGCTGTCCCCAATCCGACCCCTCCTCCCGGCCTCCATCCTCTGCCCCCCGGATGCTGCGGTGACCGGGGTGACTGCTCAGAGGGGCCCCCCTCACAGCGGCCCCCAGCCCACCTGCTCGGGCCGCGTTACTTTCCAGCCTGGCTTCCTGCCCCCTCCCTGGACTCTGGTGCAGCAGCTGCCCCAGGGCGGGGCCAGAAGACACGGGCCGGGGAGCCTCTGGGCCCTCCCGCAGAGGCCAGGCCGCTCCCCTCCCGGCACCCGCCCGACCTCCCCCGCCCAACCGCCGACGCCGGGAGCCCCGAACGCGGGGGTGGGGGGTGGGTGAGGGTGGGGGTGTAGATGGGAGAGGAGGGGGAAGTGACTGGGCGGCGCATGCGCGCTCCAACTCCGTCCCGGGTGCGCACTGGGAGCTGCGCATCAGGAGGAGCGCGGAGTCGGGGAGCTGAGAGAGGACCCGGGCCACGGACACGCACCTTCGGAAAGCCGCGGGGGCAGTGGCGGCGGCGCCCGGACGCAGGGGCGGCCGGAGGGGGCGGGGCCGGAGAGGGCGGGGCGGCCTGGAGGGGCGGGGCCAGGCGGACCGGAGGGGCGGGGCGGCCGGGCCGGGTGATCCCACTGCGCGGGCTGCGGCGGCCCCTGCCTGAGACCCAGCCCTGACTGGGCTCCCGAGCGGTGGAGGCCGGTCCCGGGTATTGTTCATCATTAACGTTTGTTTTTTTGCTTTTCTCTCTTTGGGTGACGGCGGAGCGAGGGAGGAAGCAGCGCCCTGCCTGTTCTCTGAGCTTCCCAGATATGTCTTGATGTCGTGAATTACTACCTGTTTTCCTCTTGAGCTGCAGCTGGATCGCACAGATCAGGACAGGGCATTTCAAATGGTGGGGCTTTCCCTGGAACATGAATCTCCAGCGATGGGTCATTGGGTTCCCAGGCGAGCCCTCCAAACCTGAGTGCTGGTGCCGAAGTCCTTACCCGTGCCACTGGGAAACAGTGTCAGGGCTCCGAGCACTAGGAACTCTTAAAATCCGGCATCTTTCTTGTTCTTAATCCGGGTTTACCTCCGGTACTGCTTTTCCTAGAATGTGTGTAATTGCTTCGAAGAGTGCCAATGGTCCCTAAAGAACAGTGGTCTGAGAACTCCGGTGCAAAAAAAAAGTTACATTAACATTTGTTTTCCAATCAAACTTCAACCACTTCCCACAGTTTAGCTGGGAATTCAGCCCACTTTGGAGCCCCTCGGGAGCTTACAGGTTCCAAGATAATTGGAGGGGGACCTCACATCTGGCTGCTATTTCCCTCCTAACTTGTATGTAACTTACTCTGTGCCAGACACTTCTAAGAACTTCACAAGTATTAGCCAATTAAAATTTCCCCCACCGCGTGGTATAACGGATTTTGTTATCTCAGCTTTACAGGTGAGGCAACTGAGGCCCACGGAAGTCAAGTAACTGCCCCAGGCAGAAAATCTGTTGAATAGTATAGTTGGGATTTGAATTTAGCATGCCACCACACATATTACCTCTCATTCAAGTATTATTGTTTCCATTGCTTTTTGTGCTTATGAGATTAGCCATCAAGTGTTAATCCTTTCCTTCATTCAGACATTGGGGGTGGGGGTAGGGAGCAGAGAGGCCAGTGCCCTCATTGCAGCCTTCCATGGTCTGAAGGGCCAGTATGTAGCCTGTGTTACCACCCATAGTTGGGCCATCTCTGAGGCATTGCATTCCATCAAGGTCCAGGAGTCCACCACCCCCAGCTACTCTCCATATCACTCTTCAACCCCATACTTTCTTCCAGACTTGGAAAAGCTGAATCTTCTTCATAAGTTTCAGGCTACATCTTCTTCTGGAAACATCAGTCATCATTCTTTCCATCTTTCAAGCAAGTCCAGCTTATTTTTAAAAATATTATTTTTTTTTTATTAATTTCAGAGAGGAAGGGAGAGAGAAAGAAAGAAACATCAGTGATGAGAGAGAATCATTGATTGGCTGCCTCCTGCATGCCCCTCAACTAGGGATTAAGCCTGCAACCAAGGCATGCGTCCTGACTGGGAATCAAACCTCTGACCTCCTGGTTCATAGGCCAATATTCAACCACTGAACCACAGCAGCCGGGCTCCAGCTTAATTTTTTGACATTCTTGTCCTTCCAAAATAAGAAGCTTACCCTCTTCCAAGAATGTTAGTTTCCCATTCACTCCATAATAATTCCTCTCTCCCAGTCTCAGCTCCATTGTCACTTCCTTAAGAAAGTCTTGTCTGAAGCCAGCCACCCCTGCCCCACTAAGTCCCTAATGAAGGCTTTTACTGTACCATAGTAGTTATCCCATCAAATTTCAAATGTATTTCTGTTTATTTGATCACATTTTCTCTCCACTATAAGCTCACTGAAGTGACACTTTTGTTTCTATTTCTCACCACGATATTCCCAGCCCTTCAGTGCCTGATGTTCAATTTATTGGTGTAATATGTATTAAATGAATGAACAGCCTCACAGGAAAAGCAGCCCAGAACTCAGGTTAATGATCAAATTACTTTCTTCTTCTTATCCTATATAATAAAAGCCTAATATGCAAATTGTCCCCTCAACTGGAAGTTCCCGGGAGTTCAAAAAGGGGGTGAGGCCAGACAGCCAACTGCAGGAAGGGAGGCCTGGCCAGCAGCAGGCAGCCACTAGGGACCCTACCCATGCACGATTTTCATGCACTGTGCCTCTAGCTGTTTATAAATGTCTAGCAGCACATACACATAAAATTAGCAAAAAACAGTAGATCACTCTGGCCAGTGTGCAAGTGTGGCTCGGTTGGTTGAAGTGTTGTCCCATACACCAAAAGATGTTGGGTTCAATTCTCTGTCAGGACACATACTGCAGGAGGCAACTGACAATGTTTCTCTTTTCTCTCTCTCCTTTTTCCCCTCCTTCAAAACCAATAAAAAATACCACTGTATCAATAACTCATGCTATTTATGGAGGTTTTCCTGGGATAACCAGGTAGATGCATAAAAGTTAGCAGTGCATATCTTGGCAAGGTAGTACTATCTCCTTTCCTAAGTGAAATACACATACCACCCTTTACCTTTGCCTCCTGAACTTTATATCCTCTCGGGGTCACTAACTTTACTGATTATCATGCTGCCCTTCAGAGGTGGACTCTGGTACAAATATAAATATGGACATGAACACCTGTGCTTGCTGTCTTTTGGTTGATTGACTTTGACACACTAGGAGAAAGCTGATATTTTCTAAGGCTTTTACTCTAAAAGGGAGAACAACAAGAAAATAAACCTCAGGATTGCAAAACTGCAAGAGACATAAACACAACCCAGAAATTGTGCTAAGTCCCAAAACCACTAGAGTCTGTATTTCCCAGCTCCAGTCTGTTTCCACAGTGTAACATAATCACACACTGGTCTTGGGCTCTTTGTGGAGAAAAGCAAGAGAGCAAGGCCTTGTCTGCATAGCTCCTCGGGTTCTTTAGGTTCCAGTGTGAGGCCAGAGAAGAAGCTGACACCAAGAATGACCTGCCTGCCCTAAGCCAGATTCCACATACCGCATCCAAGGTGTGTGGCTCTCACCTCCGTCAGTCAGTCATCACATCCTATAGAATAAAAGGCTAATATGCAAATTGACTGACTTGCAAAATGACTGGTCACTATGACAGGCACTGACCATCAGGGGCAGACCCTCAAAGCAGTAGCTGCCCCCTGGTGGTCAGTATGCTTCCACAGGGGAAGCACTGCTCAGTCAGAAGCCCTGAGTAGGACGTCCCCCTAGTGCTCCCAGACTGTGAGGGCACAGGCAAGGCTGAGGGAGCCCCCTGAGTGCACAGATTTTGTGCACTGGGCCTGTAGTCTTTATATAACAGGTCTGCATCTAATACAGCAACAATACACACAGCCTACACTTAAGAAAAGAAAATTGACACTGAATTGAATTGTAAGGGATTGTGAACAGGAGATAGGGGGGCAGGATAATAAGATATTGCCACCATTACATAAAGTTGTATTGGAAAATGTTGCTGTAGAATAGGGGTGTCGAACTCAATCAGAGAAGGGGCCAAAATCTAAAATCCAGCCTAAATCGCGGGCCGAATGGTTTACTGAACAGTCATAAACTGTCATTGTGATGGAAACGCAGCGGAGTGCAGTGATGACAGCGCTGTGCGGGCCACATTGCAAGGCCTGGCGGGACGGATTTGGCCCTCGGGCCTTGTGTTTGACACATGTGCTGTAGAAGTTTAATAGGTTTAGGTTTTACATTTAGGTTTATGATCCATTTGATCCAGAAATATCACTCTTGGGTATTTCAATTAAAATGGAAATATGTGCACAGAAACATCTCAAAGCTAATGTATATAGCAGCTAAATTTTAAATTGCCAAAACCCAGAAGTAACCCAAATGTCCATCAATTGTGAATGGATAACCAAATTGTGGTAGAGCCTTACAAAGAGATGCTACTAAGGAATAACAAGGGAGAAATGAATAACATGCAACAGCATGGACAACTCTCAAAAAGCATTGTGTTAAGTGAAAAAAAGCCAAATTCAAAATTTGCATGATTTCATTTATATCACATTCTGGAAAATGCAAACTATAGGCATAAAAATCAGATTAGATGACAGTGATGTGGGTGGAGTAAAGGATTGTTTACAAAAAAGCATGAGATAGAAATATTCTATCTCTTCTTTGTAGAAGGGATTATATAACTATATATTTGTCAAAACTC